GCTGTTTTCTGTGTCTTTGCCTTTAGAATTATGTGCAAAAGCTGAAAATATTAAGGCTGTCTTCATTCTTGATCTGAACCTGAATGTGAAAGGCAAGGGTGTAATAAACATAGGGCTTTGCTTCCTTGATCTTTAAAGTAAGTGTTGTTGAATGTTGTCCTGGTACTAAAAAAGAGCTTCTCTCTGTAACATTCCTAGTCTAGAGAGCAGATATTCATAACAAATTGATAAAGGTCTTCCATGTGAAGACCTGTGCTGACGCCCCCGATGTTGTTGGGGATCTTCCTTTGGCACTAATAGGCTTAGGCGCTTGCTGAGCTTGTCTGTGCATATGAGCTTTTTATCTTTTTTTGTGATTTGTTTTATTTTGGCTTGTGTAGTGTATAAACCCAGATTTGTTCATGTGGCCCTACAGCCCTTCCCAGAAATCTTTTTTTCCTGTTTTGAAGGTTTTTTGCTTCCTGCTCAGAGACTAAATAATTGATACTTGAATCTCTCTGGAAAGGTGATTTCTTTAAATAATTGATGGATTTAGAGCTTCCAATTGCTGCAGACACAGCTACAGGAAACAGAATGAAGCACAATATTCAGGATTCACAGAATGCTGTGAATTTTAATATTTAAGAAAGAGCGTGATTTGTTCTGCTTGGTAAGAGCTGTCTACTCTTTGCTTTGGGGCATAACATCCATGCTGAAACATGTACACTGGCATTTAGAAACTCCTGGAATAGAAAACAAAGGGAATAGCCTCAAGTAGCTTGTATTTGAAGGAAGGTACCCGAGTTGTTGGACTGGACTATAGTCTTTATGCAACAGCAGCCTTCTGACTGCTGGGATATAGAGCTGATTCTCATGATGCCCATTTCTTTCCCTTCAATTTGTTGTTAAATGGTGCTGAGGGAAAAACTTAATGTTGCGTGGAATGTGAATGCAGTGGTGTAGCTATATATAATAAAGGATACACAACAGTGGAGAATTCTACCTTACCTTGAGTATTAAGTCACTTCAGTTTGTCTGCATGGCAAGCCTATGGAGGAGGATGGTTCATCGAAAAAGTTGGTTGACTTGAAACTAATGAATAGGCAATTTAGGGAGATTACTCAGAAGACAAGAAGAGGGCTTTCTTTGCAAAGCGTACTGCATGCTGAGGTGGCAAAGAGTATTTTAACAAAATGGTCATAGCAGCGGTCTGCTTCTGCAAAGCAGAAGGGACTTTAACTGAAAGATTTTGTCCAGCAGGGACAAGTGAGAAGGAAAGGTGGTGTTCAGTTCTGTTCTTTCTTCTGAGCTGTGCAGCTTCTGTAACCAGTCAGCCTGTTAAGATGGCAGTTTCCTGTGTTCCTACTTTTTCTTTTTTTTTTCTTCCCCCTCTGGAGGTATTGGGTTTTTGTTTTGTTTTTATTAAAGGCGTAGATTAGGAAGTGTTTGTGTCTAACTTCTGCACCTTCTAATTCCCCCACTGCATTTGCTAGCTATTGCATCTGTTAGCTATTGCAGAGACCGATGTCTGCATTGGAAAGAGCTCCAACACTGTCACTTCACTTCATGGCCTTTGCTGTCCTGATCTCCTAATGGCACTGTGTTGTTCTTGGCATACTCCTAAGAGGTGGAAAGCCTGTTTTTCCTCCTTACCCTGGGGTGGATGCAGTCTTCCAGTGAGACAGTCAAGGGTTTCTCACAACCTGCCTGAGCACTGGCTCTTGGGGGAAGGGCTGGACTTGTTCAAACATGGGCTTGGTCTGCAGCAGCTTTGGTCTTTGTCTTTTTAATTTTTTTTAACTTGTGGTAGTGTGTGTGCAGGGTGCTCTGTGAACCTAAGTAAGTCTCTTGAAGCATTAGCTTATTTCTGTCTTTTGGCTGAGACATCTCATTTGCTGAAGAGCTGGTAGTGGTTAGGATTGTGAGGTGTTTGGTGAATGCCATTTTGTCGCATCTCTAATGTTTTCTGGTGTTGTGTTAGAGGTTTGCCTACTAGTTGTTTTTTGAAAGTTGCACAGGTGTTTCTTTATCAGAAAGTCGGTAAGGAGAATAACTACATGATTTCTGATCTGTGTGGCCACAAAGCTGTTTTCTTTTGTGGCTGTGAGCTGGTGATTGTCCTGCTTGGGATGTAAAATAAGTCTCCTGGGTTGAGAATGCGGTTGGTGTGCTAGGTGGAGGGGCAGCAAAAGAAAGCAAGCGTTGAAAGCGTTGTCCCCAGACCCATCATGCATTAACACCCTGTGCCCCCAGTAAGCAGCATTTCCTGGTGCAGGGAGAGTTTGTCTCATTTGGAATGAATGTTCCCCTGGTGTTTGAAAGCATGGGTCCTGTTACTTTGGGTGGGGGGAAGAAAAGTTTTCTGGATTCAGCCCCACATCATGTCTCCATGACATGAAAACAGCATTTAACCAGAACAACTGGTGAATGTAACTAGTACTGTACATGCGTTTATTTCTTAGCATGCTCATTACAAGAGATCAGATATCAATGTTGGTATTCTTTTTTTAACTTGGAGGTACCTTGATCTGGTTTAAATTTTTAAAATATTTAATTATACTTAACATGTCTTTATATGTAGGAACATTCAGTGTAAAGGCTAAGAAATACAGTGTGGACGTGGACAGACTGCGTGTTATACTGTAAGCAAGAAACATTTTTAAGAAAAAAAAAACCCTCAACAAACCCCCAAACAAATTATATGCTTGAGATTTCTTTAGTATATATTACTATAATTAGTTTGCTGGTTTTCTCTCTTATGAAAAAAAGAAAATGAAGGGGTATCCTTTTTGGCTGAAATGTAACCGGAGATTTGAACAAGTGGCATTCCTGGAAGTGAAGGAAAGCCACAGCATGTGTAAAAATTCAGGATGGTCTCAGGAAAAAAAAAAGGATTTATCAGCAAAGAAAGTTGGTCTTTTTCTTTCCTGTCTTTTTTCCTCAAAGTTGTGACTCATTTTTGTGATATAAAGTGGTATAGCAAGTGAAGGACCCATTTTGTTCCTGAAATACTTTGGTCTGTATGGAGGTGTGGGAGTGAGCAGACATGTCTGGAATTGGTTCTGTTACTTTTGGATTGCTAAATAAAAATAAAAATTTTCCCTGATCACTAAATAGAAACAAAATTATTCCCCAAACTGGAAGTTCTGGCTTCTCAAGTAAAATATTTACTTCGTAAGGGTTCCGAAACCTGTTGGAATGAAAGAAGAAGAAAAGTCAAATTACACCTTGCTGCTGTTGGTGTTATAGGGAGTGTGAATGTATCTGCTTTCATGAGAGGTAGTGGGAAGCAGCCAAGAAGTTTTGATCAGTTCAGATTATTCTGGCTACTTGTTCTGACAGGCTTTGGTCTCTAGAATGAATAAACCCCCAGTCAGAATGACTGACAGGCTTCTGTGTGTTTTGCTGATAAGCCGTCCATTGAACTGTAGTGACAGTGTCTAATGTTGGTTTCACTTATTCTGGTGTAATCTAACTGAGTTTTAATTTGCATAAACATGGGTTAGCCTGTAGTGCTTCTGAGGATAAGGTCAGTGAAGGCCCCACCTCCTGTCGTCGTGCTGTTGTCTGCAATTAAATAGTAATAGAGAGCCTGAGAGCTTACAGAATGATCTTTCTTCTGTCTTTTGCTCATGTTTGGATGAGTGCTGGCTTTTATACTATTTCCTTGTGATGGTTAACGTTTCTTTCTGATGCCTGCGCTGTCTCTTGCTTTAAGTCAGAATATGGAGTGTACATTTTGTTTGCAGTCAGCTACTTGGAGCAGATTTCCCTTAACCTAGGTAAGAGATCTATGTTTTACTTGGTGGCTTGTCAGGTGCTCCTGTATATTGGAGTGAAAAGGTTTTATCTGTTTCCTCATTACTTCAGTGAACCTGATGCTAGTGGAGCAGAAGTAGCATAAACCTAGTAACGTACAGTGGATAGCAGAGTAAAATTTTACCTCTTCTCAGTGTCAATAATAAAAAATATTTGCTGTTTGCATTTACATGGTCAGTAACCACCTACATTCTACAGTGGCCTCAGCTTTCATTCTGACCAGTTTGTATAAAGAAAATACAGAAGTTTTGGAGCTGCTTTTATTTTGAGGAGGTTTTTTTTTGTTTTGTTTTATTTTTTGAGAACAAGGCCAGCCAACTATATCTTTTAGTGAAAGTGAAATTGTTACAATGGCTGTTGTCCTCAGTCACTGCTTTTTAATTGCTGTGGGACTGATCCCTAATTCTGCTCACCTTTTTCAAGTCTTCCTTTAGTGTATTTCTATTAGTTTAAGAAATCGAGGGGAGCTGAAAATGTTCCATGGGTGATATCTTAAACAGCTCCTTGAATTGCAGTTGTGCAGTGTAGAGCTTTTATGCCAGATTATTTGTGATGTTAGTCAAGTGGGCAGCTCACAAGAGGATAACAAATGATGCCCACATAGATTACTTTTCAGAATTTAAGATGTCAATATTCTGAATGCTAGTCTTAAGTTCAGAGTACTTTTACATGGTATTTCAGATGCAATTTATCCATGTAAAAATAGTGGCTTGGCCAAAAGCAGATGCATAACATCAGATTGAATTGTCTAGAGAGCCAGAGTGGAGCTCATCAGAATCACTGCTTCCTTGTTTTGGGTTCAGGAGCAGTGGTGTGTGTTCCTTAAAAAGTTTTTCCAAGTTGCAATTTCTGCTGTAGTGAATAAATCCTAGTCACTGAAACCTGAAAATTTATAGGGATCTGCTCTGAGAGATAGTTTTGTGGAGTTTGTGTTGGAGCAGCATACGCTTGAAATATTCCTCAGATACTTTGAGGACTTTTGAGTCTTCGGCACACTACAAAAGTATGATGTCTTAAGAAATTGATCTGGCTTTGCTCTAGACTGCAGAAGTAGATATGTTGTACTGGTGGTCCTGAAGAGAAACTGGCCTCTTCTTTGTGAGGCCCCAGTCAGAGTTCCTTGAAGACACAACTGCAGAATAAAGATTACTCTTGCAAGTGAGTTCCTGAGTCATCAGAAGGGCTACTGTCCCTGTTTCCAGGAACCTGTAAGAGCTCCAAATCCTGACAGTTTTCCTTGCCTTTGTGCTGCACCAGCTTAGTCCTTACATATGAAGATTTGATGCTCTGCACCCTGGTGTCATACTGAACATAAAGATTCCTTCAGTGGTCAACTTCTCCCTGGGATGTGAAAAGAGCAGTCTGTAGCTGCCTCTTAATTGCTCTATTTTCAGAAGGTCCTAAGAAAATCTATGAACTATCCCTGGTAAGGGATAAGTCTTTCAACTCTCTTCCCTATTCCCCCTTACCCTTGATTGAGCACCTTCGAAGAATATGATGGTTATTTTGAATGGCACCATGCCTTGAATGAACGAACTGATATCTTTTGATACAGATTTGCTGTTGATGGAGAAATAGAATTAAGTAGTCATATCACAGCAGATGATAGGCCAAAGCATGTCTCTTCCTGCATTTTAAAAATTCTTGCTCCTTAGTTTGTTCTTCTCTTAACTTTGTTGGTTTACTTCACCAGCTTCGCATGATTTTTATGCTTTGTATCTACGAATGATGAGGAGAGCAGCTAACAGCTTACCAAATGAACTTTCTTCTTTGTTTTCTCTTGCCTAAGTTTTGCCCTAGTTCCCCCAGCTTTATCCATTTCAGTGCGTTAACTTCAAGTGTGGTGTAGCTTGTGGTGCTGGTGTAGGCTGCTGGCATTGTAAGGGTGGTGCATTTCCACGAGCATACTCAGAAGCTAGTGCTGCTTCTGACCTCCTGTCCTTGTTCTGCCACCTCTTGGCTGCACCCACCCTGGCATTTGTATTAGCTCTGGGGAAGTAGATTGGAAGGCTTAAAACTCTTTTATTCTTGGCTCATGGTACAAGATCACAGGTTTGATCACTTGTGCTACATGATTTGCTGTGTGATCGTTTGCTTCACTGAACAGGATTGTTAACGGTTGTGGATTTTAGGAGGGAACAGGGAAGGGGATCCATACTGCATATGGTGGCAGTACTGGCTGAACTTGGAATTTCAGTACAACTTACCTAAAGTCGTACTGAAATTCTTTACTTCCTTGTAAAGCTAATGCTGTCTGAAGGTCAAAAGGACCTGTGGGCCTAGATCTAGATATGTGCGTTAGTGTTCCAGTTGTTCTTGTTCTAGAATTAATATCTGTGAGGATTTCTCTGCATATCCAAGTTAGATTATTTAATATATCACACACTGTTTTAGGAGAGTAAAAATCCAATGACTATGAATATCACTGCTGTAGCATTTTGGAATTAAGGGTAGAATCTGTGGGTGTAGAAAATGCTTTGGAGAAGACAGTAGCCTCTTGATAAACAACTGCTTTTCCTCCCCTCCCCCCACTAAAGCTGTAAACACCAAGACAAAATTATATATTCTGCTAAAGCAGCAGTGCTGTATTTAATTTCTAAAAATTCCTGTTGTCATGAGTGGGTGCTAAACTGTCAGCTGACACAATATGACTTGCTTTGTCTGAAACAGAAGAGAAAGTTGCTAGTCTGTGCTGCCTACTTTGATCTTCCAAGCGGTTTGTAGTATTGCCTAATGATAGTTATGTAGTCTGTGATGTAAGTGAAATGAAATACTGATGTAGCAGATTTCTAGACTGCTAAAAGATGCCTCCTATATTAGGAAATATGGCTGGTTTTAGTATAAACACAGGGAAGGTGGCTGTTTGGCCTTGAGTGGATCGCTTAGTCTGTTTATTTGTAGGGTTAGGGGAAAAAGTCAGACATGCCTACACTTTCAACTTCTTATGTCAGAATGTCACTCCCACACCAGTTGTGAGCATCTCCTCCATATGGTGTTTGGTGGTCCATCAAGAACCAAAAGACTCTTGATGAGGATAAGCAAAGAGAGTAAGCCAAATCTGCGTCTTTAATATAAGTAGGTGTTTCAGAAGGTAACATCTGCCTCTGGAGCCATGAGCTTCTTCGCAGCAAGGAACCAGTACTGGTAGTACTAGGCCCCCTGTCCCTTCAAAGCATTTAAAACAAAAAAGTATATGGGGAAAAAAAATAACATTTTGTTTTTTCATTTTGTGAAAATACTGTGATTGATATTGACTGGGACATCTTGCCAGTTGTATGGAGTAATGGAGAGAAGTGTCTTGCAAGCTGATGGTCAAAATGATAAGGTAGGTGGGGAATGGTGCTTATCAGTAAAGGGTACTTTTGATGTTCTTCATTCCTGGGAACAGTTTCACAGAAGCTGGGACTTAGAACAATTGGATCTGAATCCCAGTGCCAGGGAGGGTAACCTAACAAAAAGTAAAACTTTGAGTGTGTTTGTATTTTAGGTCCTGAAATGGTATACTTGTCTTTCTGTCTCATATTATGTTTTAAGCCTCTTTGTCTAGTAGAACTCAATTTTTATGGAATTTAATCATATGCTAGTTACATGCCACCTGCTGCCTCCTCTTTTGTAGTCGTAGCAGCAGTAAAAGCAATGTTTCTTATTAGTAGTGTGTGCATTTTACAGTTAGCACCTCTGTCTTTTGCCAGGATCCCGATTTTCACAGGGAGGCAGGCAGAACAGTGGTAAAGGCATTCATGTGCCTGTATCCAGAGAATGTCTGTCCTGGGTTCAGCAGTAGCAGTCATTTTTCTCCTTAGTAGCTGGTGCAGTGCTGTGTTTTTGACTTTCAGCCTGGGAATAACCTTGACAATGTGCTTGCGCTGGCAGCCAGTATATTGCTGTAACACAGATTTAAACTGATGCAAATGGAGTCTTGGACTTTGCTCAGATTAGTGGTGTTCTGCTGTTGTCTCTAGTGTCTCCTTTTTTTCCCCTCTTCCCCAGACCCATCAGACTTACTGACTTGGATAAGTGTATGACTACTGAGTACTGAAATAAAAATTTCCATTTGGGGCTAGAGGCTGAGATGAAGTTAGAAAAGCCAAGTGTTCATTCCTTCTCTTGTGTTCTCTCAGCTGCAGGCTTAGAAAAACAGGAGAGTAGTGTTTAAGTAAGTTTTCTTTACTATGTCTTTTAATAGTAAGATTTCAAGATGTTGTCTGTGAAGTTAGATGGGTTGGAAAGGTCAGTAACTAAAGCTGAACCAGGGCATGAGGAAACAAAACTGTCTACTTACAGGAACGTATATTGCAAAACTCAGCTTATGTGACTGATCATATCTAGGGAAGTCCTGTCCAGTCACTGCTTGTGCTGCTATAAAGTACAATTTTCTTTGTTTTAACAAAGGTTAAGTGCCTTTTTGCAATAAATGAACTGTGAGCATTATAACTTAGTTATAAGGTGAAGTTTTAGAAGGCAAAAAGACTTGTTTTCTGTATTTGATCAAAACTGTATGGAAATCAACATCTAACTGTGGCAAGATCAAACTCGGGTGTTAATTCTGAATGTTCACACTCTCTAGCCTGACAAATTTTGCAGGTATTGTTTCTGTAAGAATGTACAATATATACTTTATTTTTTCTCCAGACTCTGCTGTTTCTATGGAGCCCACCAAGTGGTTCATTCTGTGTGTACAGTCCCTTTACTGTGGCTGTTGGGAAAAAAAAAAAAAGCTTTAGTTCTGACTTAACTCAGTTTTACTCCAACTTGTATAGAATTTTTTACTCCATCTTGTATGGCATCAGGTGGAATAATTCCTTCTTTTAATGATTTTTCTGCTGCTATTGTGTCTGTCCAGATGCACCAATCTGGACTCACCTAGTGACTCTGAAGTAATGTATCTTAAGCAACCTGTGTAGGTAACATATGCCTGAAGGCTACTTAGGTGATGTCTGGTTTTATTATATACAAATTAATCTACTTCATGTCAAGTGGATCAGTATGACTTGTATAACACCTACCAACTTTTAGTATGATCTGAAAATTCCTCTTGTGCACATGCAAGCCATTTTAGCCTGAAAAAAAAAGCAAAAATTATTCTTTGTCCACCTCTTGCAATCCTACTTTGAAGTCACATGATTTTCTGATATTCTACAGTTTTAAGTAGTTATGGAGAAAACTACTAAAAATCTATCCTTCTCATTTTTTTCTGCATGGTCTCTGCATTTCTGAAAACTATTTCTATTTGTTGTGCAGCAAAGAAACTTCCTGGCTGGGCTTGAAGAGGGACAGGGGGTGTGTCTGGACCAAGGAAGGACTCTCAGTCTGTTTCCAGATGGAAGCCAATCCTGGCATTGGGTGACCTCTGGAAGGAAAATCAAAGTCTGTTTGGGATAGGAGTTTGTAGTCTCATGGGCTGGAGGTGTCTGTTGTGTGTCCTTGATCTGTTTGTGTGTGTGTGGTTTTAGCTTCAGGGGAAAAAAAGTTTGAGACAAGGCTTGAAATATTTTCTGAAATAGATTTCAGAAAACAAGCTCCTCCAGAAGACACTGATTGTAGTACTCCATAATTGTCCTGGAAAACAATTGGTATTTCACTTACAATAAAGAGCTTGCTTTAGCTTTTATTGAATGGGATTCTCAAAGTTGACAGGTATTTACTTCTGTTCTTTCTTTCTGTGGGGCTGTTCATTGTACGCCCAGGTACAGGCTGTCTTTTAAAAAAAAAATAAAATTGTGGTGGTGATCTTCATTTCTGTATTCCATGGTGCTTGGTTTCAGACACTGCTGGGTAGGCACGGTTTCTGCATGCTGTCTGTGAATGTCCAAGCCAGCATAGTCCTTGAAGCCTTTTCCTTAGTTATGAGGTGTATAAAAATTCTCTATGCTTGCTTTTCTGTTGCTTTTCACTGACATGTTATGCGAGGAAAAAGTTTACCTCAAGGTGAGTGTAGGGTTGAAATATGGAACTATTTTTGTCTGTCTTAAGCAGTACTTCTGTGGTCAGCTGTCTGGAATGCAAGAGCTGTGGAGTGCTTTGTCTTCCCTGCTCCAGCTCTCAGTTTAACAGCTTGCCCTCTGTTCTTCTGTTCCTACGCATGGCATTTCTGCATTTCTGCAGAGGTGGTTTAGTTACGGTACTCTGAAAAGCTGTAGTTCTCTGAAATATTTGAGCAACAGTTGCAGTTGAACCTTATCTCTACTGAATGTACAAAACCACAGAAAACAAACTGCAGAGCAGACCAGCTTTTTAATGTTTGTGAGAATAAGACTTCTTATGGGGTAATGATTTAGTAAAGAAATGTTAAAGTGTAGAAAAGATAGAGTACAACTGCCTGTTGTATTTAGCAGTCTGTAGACATTGAGGTTTTCCAGGTAACATCTTACTAGCTGGGTGGATGTGTGATCTACAAGGGTATGTATTTACACTTTTGTGTAAGTCCAAGCAGCTGTCTGTATAAGTAAAATGGTTTTGAAGGAGTGAGAAAACAAATGAACGCCAGCTTGCTGATGCAGACTTTCCAGGCTAATTTTATAGCTAGTTTCCTTTTTGGGTGTCCCTTCCTGTTACCACATCAGGGTGCTTAAAGAATATAGGGTTATTAAGCAACAAATACTTAGGGGGAGTTTAGAGTCAGCAGAAGTTTCTGAGCTGACTTTGAACATACCGCTGAATGTCATATGATGCATGTTACTATAGTCACTTTCTCAACAAGAGATCTAGAAAAAGATTCTTTATTCTTAAAACATTTCACTGCCTAATTATTCTCATTCTCTTATGTGCAGACGCTGTGCTATAGAAAATGCACTATTATCGATATTCTAATGCAGAAGTCAGCTGTTGGTACAAATACCTGCTCTTCAGCTACAACATTGTCTTCTGGGTGAGTACAAAATGTAGAGACTGAAATAGCTTAGACATACCTCAGTTTTACTAACTTCCTTCCTCTGTTCAAGAGGCTGAAATATTTACCTGAAAGGAAATTGGTGTATGGTATGTCTTGGGTGTTTTGGAACTGAGGAAGCCTATCCCATGTAATCTTTCCTTTTGTTGCCCTTTCCTCCTATCTTACCTTCTGAGTGAAGATAAAGGAGAGAAGCAGGTAAAAAGATAAAATTGTGTTGGTTTGTTTGTTTGGTTGTTTTTTTGTGTGGGGGATTTTTTAGGGGAAAGGAAATATTTGCTTAAAGGATTTTTCAGAAGAAATAGTATAGTCTCTACTGTTGCTGACAAGGCCTCTATCTTTTGAATAATGGAGGCTATTCAACGCTGGTTGTGTTTGTGCAAAGGTTAAAGCTACCTTACTTAAGTGGTACATTGAGTTGCTTCCCTGTTAAGAGAAGCCTCTTCTAATATCTCCTTTCAGATCATCTTTGATCTCTGTGTTTGAGTGGTGTAGCTTAAACACACTATGCAGAAAAGAAGAAAGGAACGGCCCCAGAGATGTGTCAACTTGCGGGCATTGCAACATACTCAAGATTTTAAATGCCATGCTCTGTGGGCAGCAAAATTGTCTGATACACTCTTGAAATACTTAGCTAGGGACTAGCCTTTCTGTAATGCTTGTTTAGAATTGTGAATGTGAAAAGGGTGAAAAAGGTGTGTGGTTTCAGATGTGTATGATGGTCAAAATCACTGAAGCACCTAACTACCTTGGAAAAGAAGGCTGTTATTCAAAGGTTAGTGCATAGTGTTGCGTTAAAAATAGTTAACATGTCTGTGAAGGAAAGGTAAGGATGCGGTTCAAATAAACTTGATAATTCTTTTCAGAACTTGCAGGTCAAATGTTAAGAGTTTGCCCCTGAAGTCATGGAAACTGCAGGCATGGAAGGGCATGGGTAGTCATGAAGAAACGCAGATCTGGTGATTTGCCTGGTGCTAGCATCTTAGATTAATGTTCTGACTCAGAGTTGAAATATTTCTTAGTATGTATGGCTGTTCTAAAAATGTTTAGATTTTTTTCAAAGCTGAAAGGATCAGATAGTAAGAATGAAAGTATGGTATGTGGTTGAAGCAACTTCTTAAAGTTAAGAGTAAAAATTAATCCTGATGCTGACTTGTCTAAGTAGACATGCTAGAGCGGACTGTATTTATGTTATTTGTTTATTGTGAATCCTTAAACCATGTCAACTTTTACTAACTGAAGTTTAAGATATACAGAATTACTACCCAAATCGGTGTTTAACTTCTGTAAAAAATGGGATTTAGTATCTGAACATAAATTGCAGATTCTTGTTTGGTTTTGTCAGCAATGATTTTGTATTTGCTTGATTTACCCACATAAATTTCTGGTAAACTAGATTGGTGATTCTGCACATTTTGTCTGCTTTGGCAATTTTAAAGTAGAAAATAAGGTTTTTTTTGAAAGCTGCGTGTATTATGGACAAAAATCTGAATTAATTTAGAGTCACAGAAAAGACTAGGCTCGTTCCAAATGGAAGGCCAGGTTGGATGAGGCTTCAAGCAGCTGGTCAAGTAGAAGGTGTCCCGGCCCATGCGGGGGGAGTTGGGACTAGATGATCTTTAAGGTTCCTTTCAATTCAAACCATTCTGTGATTCCATGAACTTCTGGGGGTCATCTCACCCAGTTTTCTATTGAAAGCGGGACCAAAGGGTAAGAAATAACTGCTCAAAGAGAAGAGCTGGGAGTTCTATGAGCTGCTTACTCGTTAATTTTTTGCAGCCCTCAGCCTAATAAAAATTTTGGAAGGCCAGGTAATGCTGGGACAGCATTGGTTTGGTATGATGGCTGAAAACCAGGGAAGTTTTTGTTACTGCACCACCTCTTGTTTACTAGTGTAGTGTCTTGACCTGGTATTGCACCAGTAAGCCACAGGGGTGTTTACTTGTGTAGGTAACAGGGCAGGAAAGATGTGTGTGGTTTGAGTAGAAACTTTTTTTCCAGGAAGAGTTAATTTGCCACAATGTTGCCCAAGTGCAAACGTTTGTTAGTGATGACATTTTCCCACTAGCAACTGGGGATTCCCATCATAGGGTTGTTTCAAAAAGTGTGTGCTCAAAGGCTGCCAGCTTTGTAGTTACTTTTCTTCTGTATATAGTACAACTCCTATGTAACTATAGTGAAGTGTGGTGCAATGAGGAGTAATATTCATCAAGCTGCTCTGGTTTTCAGAGAAATTGCTTTGTAACTGGGTAGCTGCTCTTCAGCAGGTAGCATGGGGTATGTGAGAAATTGATTGGCTCTTCTATTCATGAATGTATTAGAATTGTTCTAGATCTCTGCTTACGTTCTAGTGAGTGTCTTGGGAGGTGGGGTCTATTATTGTTTTTGATGAGTAAACAACCTTTGAAAATCTGTTGTTTTGGTGTTTTTTTTTCCTGAAAGGCATTTGCCTCCCCTTTTTCACAGGAATTAATTTTGTCTCTTTCTATTTTATTTTTATTCCCTGCAGAGTCATATTTCACTTCTTTCAAACTTACTTTTTACTGTATTCTCTTGAAATTAGTGATGACAATCCACAGATCTTTTTTCTATTCCTTAAAGAATCTTTTTTAAAAAGATGCAGAAAAAATGAGGAGAATTTGAAATACAGTTTGTGCATTTCAGCTATCTGTTTGCTTTAGGATTTGGTTTTGTGAACAGGTACTATTTCTTGGTACCTTGCTCAACAAATGGTGTGAGGCTTTGTTGTGGTTTAAGCCCAGCCATCAACTAAGCACCATGCAGCTACTGGCTCATCCCCTCCTCTCCTTGCCCCACTAAAATATCAGTGTGTTATCACCATTATTCTCAGACTAAAGCAGAAGCACAGCACTGTACCAGCTACTAGGAAGAAAATTAACTCTATCCTAGCCAAAACCAGGACAGGCTTCTGAGAAGTTTTTGGCCTAACCTAGTAAACTATGTGCAGCTGCAGCTGTTATGGTAAGAGTTCAGTATCTTCAGTTGTAGAACAAGCTATGTAAATGTTGAGTGGGAGGGTAGACAATCCTATAGGCAGTGCATGAATCATTGAGCTGAACGGGTGATTCAGGAGCCTGTGACATCCTCCTGGCTGGGATGACTAGTCTAACGATCTCTTTAATTGGACAAATCCATCATGTGTAGAACGAAGTAAATTTTCTGTGTGCCTTAAGAACGGAAGGACTACAAAATCAGAAGGGAAATGTAAACATGACTGGAAAAAAGCAGGAGTAAGGGAGGAAATATTGGTCTTGAATTACTTTTCTTGGCTTGCAAGACAGGTACCTGTGGGAACTTGTTGTGTGAGTGTGGCTGCTATATAATGGGTATGAGGGATAGTGCTTATGTAGGTGAGCAGACAGCCTCTTGCCTGTTTAAGCTGTTACTTGAGATGCGATGATAGCTCACCTTTGTCTCAACTCCTGACACAGTTTAGTCACGAACTAGGTAATTTGCATATAAATAAAGCTGCAGTTATTCCTCCCTCATGCTTGCTAAAGATGCATGTTGACTTCCTCATTGTAGTTCTAAAGACAGTATCAGTGACTATAAATTTTAAAGTGAATAGTTTACAGTATATTTTTAGTGGGTGGTTGGTTTCTTCAGTTTATATCATTTATCAAATACAGTTCACATGGACCGGGGTTGCACAAAATATTGAACTACGAGGACAAATATGACTTAATAATGACAAACTCACAGTTTAATCATCCTTTAGCAATCTGTAATTTATTTTTTTTGTAAGGCTTGTTTTTTTTTTTTTTCCACATAAGCAACTTCTCAATAGAAGTTTCAGTTCTGATGGCTTCGAGTTAGTTGTATACAACTGGCTTGCAAAAATCACTTTTCTCTTCTTTGTGCTTGGCTTTCCCTTGTGAAAAAGGGAATGGAGGTCATAGGAAGGCTCTTGTCTTCCTAGGCATGATTTTAATGTGGGATTGCTTTATTCTCTTCTTGCCTTTTAAGCATGCTAATAAGATTTAACTCTCCAAGTACACTTGTTTTGATGAGCAGTGATGAGGCAGTATTGCAACCATTAAGATAGCCCTGCAGGGAGTGCTCAGAAGTTTAAGTGAAATTGCCTTATTACAGCAAGACTAGACCTCCTTTAGAGTTTTTAAAGCTTTCTCCCTCCCCAAATGCCTTCATTTGCCATTATGAAATTAAAAGGCTGCAATAATAAAAAGCTGAAGAGCTTGGTTCTAGCACCTTTCTGTTCCAAGTCATTTTGCAATGTCGTGAGTTCTGTGAAAGCCCCAGTGGAGGGAGGAGGCAGGGGTGGATAACTGACCACAGGGGAAGTGCAAGGATACCCTGTTTTGGGGTGCAGCACTGTTCTTATGCCTTCCAGCCTGGGAATTCTTGAGAAGGCCTAAAGAATGAAAGGCACTGCCTCAGTCATCTGCCTCTAATGCTTGCTGCTTTGTCTCCAGTTGAAGGATTTTCTTTGGTAGTCCAAGAATGGCACCTTGGCCAGGATATGGCTATTTCAGTGAAGCATTGCATGTGTGCTCTGCCAAAGCCTTTTAGGTTGCATATGAGCTCACTGTCTCTCAGATGAATTGAAAGGAGAGCATAAAATAGCTTTTAGTTGCTGTCATCTTGATTTATCTTCTGATGCTTTGTAGCTGTGTTTGTAGCTCTTAAGGGGGGTTTGGAGGAAAAAACTTTTTTCCCCTCATCCTATAGAAGCTGTGGCATTTTTGCTCTGAACATGAAGGGCAAAAATTCTCTTAAGTTGTGAAAAGAATACCGAGTTCGTTTTTGCAAAGTAGGAGAAGACTGAGGGTAGCATAAGATTTTCTTGTCTTTTGCAGTTTATGTTGTTTCTCAGGAACATCTAAAAAAGCAAGAAAGAGGAAAGAATCCACCACCAGGTGGTTTCCTGACCCTGAGAGGAAAAGTCTTGGAGGAGACAAGGGTAGGAAGGAAGGCTGTAGGCTGCTGTTTGCTCCAGCATAGGTGGAGCTATAGAATAAAACAGGATTGTCCAGGGGTGGAAGAAGTGTTCTCTGTGAGAGTAACATTTTGTGCTTACAAAAATTGAGTGCAATAAGAATGCATTCCCATTGTTTCTCATAAGACCATGAAGCAGGCTGTTCCAAAATCAGTTCATGTGCAAGGAATGTCTTGCAGGAATTATGTTTGCTGCAATCTAGATTTGAGAAACAAATTAGATCTGTTTTCTCAGTTAGCAGGGTGATTCTTAATAGCATAAACAAAGGAATTCAAAGTGTGGTTGGCAATGGATAATGCTTAAGTGGTCCTTGTACATGGTGTCTGTGAGTTGGTGTGTTGTACATCTGAGCCGAGGCTACAGCTCGTAGTGGTATGTTAATAATGTGGATTTTTCAGTTCTAAAGCAGTAAATGACCAAATGCTGCTTAGTTTCCTGTTCAAAGGGGTATAGCTGAGCTGAGTCTTTGGTGCAGTATGTGGTTTAAATGACTCCATAGCACAGAATTGAATTGGGTAGTCCAGTTTGTTCTTGCTCACATATCCAGATTCTAGTGAAAGGCTAATTCCAAAATGCTTCTCTTGAAATAAAGCTGGCTTGCTCACTTTCACCCTGGGAACACATGGTTAGCGTTGCTACTTCTCAGTTGCCTGTTCTCCCATTTGTGTGGACAGTTAGTTCAGTGAGCTGATTGATGAAGGTTAAAACTTTTCTTTCACTTCAGGCTGGATCAGTTCCCTTGTCTTCATCATAGCAGTTAGCGGAATGCCTCTCTGCAAGAGTGATAAGAGAGGATATTTTCCTAGTACTAATTATCTGTAGAAATCTGTATTGGGCATGCTCAATCACACTAACTTCTGAAGTAGTTTTATCACCATTGTGTGTTTTACAATAGTTTCCAGTGAGATATTTTACAGTATCTTGTAATTGGCATTTCAAGCAATCTCATTCAGTTAAATAGCTACCATCTTACTTCCTTGAAAATTGGTTGTCTTGGTAATTGTGCCTGTAAAGCTGATGGCTTTGTTTCTTCTGCAAGTACATCATACTTCACTGTTTTTTTTGCTAAAGAAACCTAATGTATGTGATTTGTTGTGTTTCTAGTGAGAATTATGAATTGCTTAGGTGAATTAAGTTACAGATTTTTCCATGTCAATTCTATTAGATTAAGTTGATTTTTTTTTTTTTTCCACTAATAACTGTTTTACTTATAGGTAGTATGCATATGTGCCCATGGAAATAACTTTGCAAAAATGGTGCAGCTTTGTGAAACTGAACATTTAATAAAACATGAGTTTGTATTCAGAGGTGAGAATGAAGCATTCTAGTGAAAAATCTACTTAATCTATTACAATTTAAGACAACAATAATTATAATGAAAGGCAACCAGTCTGAAGAGGACACCTTATTTGTATATTCAATAGCACATTATTAGTGCTACAGTAACATTAGCTTGTAAACTGAATGTGGAAGTCTTCCTGATTTTTCCCCCTCATTTCTTAAGGAAAAGTTCCCAAATATCCAGCTGTGTCTACCGTGTAATTTACCTTGATTACAGCAAATTATGCCAGCTGTCTTCACCTGTGTCTCAGCATTTCTGGAGCATTGGGAATGAGAAAGGGTGAAGGATGCATTGATTGCGTTTGCTGTAAAACTTGATGATATAGAAGTTGTGAGTACAGATTTTTTTTTAATTGCTTCTTCATCTGAAAACCACTGGGTTAAGATTTAGGGGTAATCTGGGTCAATATTCTGTTTATATACATGTGGGTTTTTTTTAAAATAGTATTTTTAAAGCTGTGCTTTGATCCAAATCATTACTTTAAATGTTCTTAACTATTTAGAGTCTGAGATGAGTAGTTATGCTGTTGCTTATTAAGCAGTATCTGGAAATTTATTTAGCACTTCTTTGCCCCATTGTAACTCTTTACATCTATTAGTTGATTTGATTGGTTAATCTGTGTGATTAAGCCCTAAAATATGGCATATAATACTTTATGCCTAGATGGAAGTATCAGGTCATTTGAGTAATTTTTGCTGAATGACAAGAATGACACAGACCTTTTAGGCTTTTTCCCCCCCCACTTCCCCCAGCAGAGTAAACCTAGAACAACTTAATTTGCCCTGACTGTGGTTTAGGATCAGTAGGAAGTGAACCCAGTAGTACTTAAAATCTACACATACTTTCTTGTGTGACTGTGAGACAGTCTCATTTTCTTCTTCTTGCCCGTGCTGTGGGGAATTGCCTTTGATGCTTATTTAGCTCATGGGAGAGAGGAAAGGGCCCCCTTTTCAAGGCATTTTTTCATTTGTTGGGCTTTACTTGTCAATGTGTATAAGACTGGGTTGGTGGGGGTGGCAAACTCCATCCTTTATATAGCATCATTTAGGTTGGAAAAGGCATTAACCTAACATTGCCAATTTCACCACTAAGCCATGTCCCGAAGTGCTACATCTGCACACCTGTCTTTTAAATACCTCTAGGGATGGTGACTCGACCACTTCCCTGGGCAGCTGATTCCAATACGTGACAACACTTTTGGTGAAGAAATTTTTCCTAATACTCAATCTAAACCTCCCCTGGAGCAACCTGGGACTGTTTTGCTCTCATCCTGTAGTTTGTTACTTGGGAGGAGAGACCAGCCACCTCCTCATCCATCCTCCTTTCAGTTGGTTGTAGAGTGATAATGTCTCCCCTCAGCCTCTTTTTCTCAAGACTAAGCAAAGCCTAGTTCCTTCAGCTGTTCCCCACAGAACTTGTCCTCTAGACACTTCACCAGCTTCGTTGTTCTTTGGACATGTTTCAGTACCTCAGCATCTTTTAAGGTTACATAGACACAGTGATATGATATGTTGCTTGCTGTATTGCGTACCTGCAATTGGTAGCCACAGGTACATAGTTACTGCATGTTGGGCTGGGACAAAGGGACCCTCTTAAAACAATAAGAAACTCATTCATGGGCCAGCCGCATCTTGGTTGTGTTTGAAGGATGAAAGGAGAATATCCAGGATTGGTGGCACCAAAAGGATGAATTATTTGACAGCTTGGTGAAGTGACCATTCAGTTGGCAAAAGAGCTAACTTTTAAGGTGTCCTAAAGTGAACAGCCTTTATTATAACGTTAAAAATCACAACCACAGGTGAAAAAGACCCTGGCCCAGCTGATGACCCTTCTCCTGAGTATTTCCGACTAGCTAAAGATGACAACACAGCAAGTATTAATTATATGTAAATTACAACCAGTCATTGTAACTGGGAGTTTACTGCCTTATAACTTTTGTGTATAAATGTAAAGAAGAAAGCTGGCATTGGAATGCTTGATTTGCGGAACAGTCCACTGAGCACCCAGGCCTGAATAAACAATATCTCTCCTGAGCGCATGAACTGGTTTACTGCACGCTGAGCACAAATCCGCTTTTCGGACAACAATAGCAGAGTAGAACGCCATTTTAAATAATGCGGGGGAGCTGCCCTCTCTGTAGAGAGGTCATTTTAGTTTGAGTATTGAAATGGCATTGTTTGTTGAAACGGCTGACAGTGGAGAAAAGAAATAAAAGACTAGAACAAGGATCTCATCCTTCATTTGGATTAATATAATTCATAAATATTTATTATACAAACATTTGGTATAGGATATGTACCTTGTCAATAGATTTGTTGCTTATTAAAAGTAAGTGGATGGACCATTATTTCAGCCTAATTCAAAGGGGCTTTAAACAAACCATATCTAATTGGAGAAGAGGCTAATATAGTGAGCCCTGATAAGTTTTGAGGAGCCAAGCATGGCTACTGCCTGGGGGTGGCACTGTAAAATGACTAGGGAATAATCTCAAAATGCATTAAATATTCTGAAATCTTCTGTGCAGGCAAAAGGCTTAGAGCAGGTCACTGGGACAAGGATAATTCCTCCTTGTATGCTACTACGTGAAATTGTTAATTTAGTCCTGTGTGCTTCTTGAGTAATCATGAATAATCAAATTGAAATACTGTTAAAAAGCAGATTATAATGCAACAATGCTATGGAATAAATTACTGTTGTCTGAGATTACAGGCAATACTTGGTTTTACTTTAGCAACAGTGCGAGTGCCTAAGTGTTTTGAGAAGGTGTTGATTATTGTATCTAATTCTTTTTTTCTCTTTGTTTTAGCTAGCTGGGGTGGCCTTCCTTGCAGCTGGTCTGTGGGCATGGAGTGAAAAGGTAAGGGTAGAAAAGACTGGTCTTACATTGGTGGCTGCCCTCTCCTACCTCTGCTCCCCATAAAACTACTTCTGCAGGAAGTAGCAAAGATTGAATTTAGCATCTGAGCTCATGACCATGTTTGAATGATCTAAACCAAGTTTAGTTGGAGTTTTATTCTTGATCAGGTGTTAAGCTGTGGCCCTTGATATTTAGACCTTTTTTGTAAACTTTTAAGAGCAGGATGCTTGGGAGAACTTAACTTTTACTATTAGTCCTTACAAACTGGTTCTCTTTTGAAAGCATGCTTTCTAAAATACAGCTCTCTACCCCCCTCTTTTTGCTACAAACAAGAAGCATTTGGGAGAAATGTAAAAGATAACTGATTTTGATTTAAAAAAAAACAACAAACAACTGAACAGAAATCAAACAAAAAATACCCCAAACACAAGCACACATACTGGGGACTGTCATTTTGAAGTATTCCAGTCTTCAGGCCATCTACAAACTTCCTTTTGGAACTTCCTATGGAGTTGCTTAAGTTACTGTGTCTCTATGTAGAGTCTCAAATGTGGGGAGCATGATCTAACTAAATAAGGCTTTTATATTTGTCAAAGGTTTCTTCTAGTGAGCAACTTCCTCAGAGGAAGTCTGTTGTGAGCATGTACCTACAGAGATCTCCTATTACAAAGAGATGGTATAGGTATGGAAATGAATGATTCACTCCCTTGTCATGAATATAGAAGCATGGTTTTAATATGACTGCAAGCAGTAGGAAAAAGTGACAGTTACTAGCAGATTTACTGATCTTGAACCTTAATTAGCAGTGGAAAGCAGGTGCCCTCACTTGTACTGCTGGGTAGGAAGAGTTTAATTACCATTATGGTGGAACATTTCCTTAATCAGAGTGCTTATACACAGCAGCTGTGTATACACATACAACAGGGAGGTTCTGGGATTCTTCCACTTTTTGGAAGTGAAAGAGTTTTATGATGATCTTAATGCTGAGGTGTGTATTCTCCTTCTCCACGCTCCCTATGTGTGTGCAGGCATTCTTACAACTAAATAAGTGATGTGACTGATACGTAGTAAGCAGCCTACTTCCACTCAAATGCATTTACCTCTTAGCCTGTTGTTATAGAAGGATTTTATTTCCAGTCCTTTAGAGAGAGTGTTAATCTTGTTTTGAATTTGTATTCTCTCAAGTTCAGATATCATCTTCTGTTCTGTGAAGAATCACATAGGGTATATGTGGTTGAAATGACTAGCTCACAGCTACTTCTAATTGCCAGAGGGACTTCATGGTACACTGAAGTTACTAAAAGGCAAGGACAGATTCTTTCTGTCTTTATTCCTTAAATTTTGCCTGAACTATTTCTGTTCTCTGTTCTAACTTAGAAATAAGTGCTTCAAAGCTTTTCCTGTGGTTTTGAACTTCTGAATGGCTTGTAAAATCTGTACATGTCTGTTATTCTTTGTGATGTGGACGGTCTTTCATACTAGTTACTGTTCTTCAGTCATAGTGTCTGTATGGATCTGTTTGTTTACAGATAAATATCTTGGTGAACAATAGATAGGAAGTAAGAGAAAAACATTCCAGAAGCTGTGCTGCAGCAGTAAACTGAAAGATAAATTACAGGTGGTGGAAAAGTTTTGAACATCCTGTCTCTTAAATGCAACATGAAGTACATTGGGTCCCTTTAACTTCTCTGGTTTTTCTTTTACCATGAAGACTGTGTTATAATGAGTTATTATGTTATAAAGTTGTGACAATCAACATCCAGTTTACAGAACCTCGTTTATAAGAAATCAGCTCTGTCCTTGTCTGATGTATTTTATGGTTTCCATACTAATGTATCTCAAAAGAGTAACTGGTTTGGCATCTGTTAATAGGATATATTAGAGATGTTTTATTTGAAGACAACCCATGTTTGCCCTCTGTTGGCAACACACTTCAGTTGAGATGGTGGCATAATGCTTACAAATATTAAAAAAGAGGAAAACAAAGTAAACATGTACAGTTGAACTCTTAATTCACTGTTCCAGGTGACTGAAAGGAAGACTTAAAGGCTGAGTTTTATTCTTGGATTTTTTTTTGACAGTAACCAGGTATCAAACTTCATTCCTGTATACCTGTAGGAAATGGAAGTGCTGTTTTAAAGGGCACTCTGGGCCTCAAAGAGCTTTTACCATCCTGCAGATGACACAGGCAGAAGCATTCTTAGAGAGATGAGGGCGGTGGAATGAGATAGTGCCCTGAATTAATTCTCTTGTTTACTTCCTTCCTTCAGGATTTTTCACTTAGCATCTTCTGTTGGGCAAAAAGCACCCTACGACCTTCTTTGCAAAAGAGAAAGTTGTAAACATCAAACATGAACATGAAGAAACTGTTGTGAACTCAGCAACATCTGAGGGTGAATAACAGAGCCCAGTTCCTGCCAACTGTTCTTCATAAAATGTTTTGATCAGAGGAAGTTTTCTTCCAAAAAATGTTGCTTGAGCAAGTGAGATTGTCTGAAAAAAAAGCTCCTGTTTGTGTTGGAAAGGAGATGGCTGGAAATAGTTGTGACAGTTTCAATATCCTGGTCACAGTGTTTGGTTTCTTAGTGTATGGGTTCTACAAAGACATTAGCCTAGCTAATCTTGGCATGTCTTCCTTCATTTTTGGGTTCTGAGACAAGGTTTGATTAGGTAGGACTCTCACTATTAATCCAGAAGACCAAGTTTGATAGTCATCTGTTGATAATTGTGTTACAGTTTGTAAGAATGGAAATGTGTTACTGGTGACTAGAAAAGTCTTTGCTTCCCAAGACTTTGAATGCTGTGATATTTATAAACCGTGACCAATTTTTAATAGGCCATTTCAACTGTTAGTCAGCAGCTATTGCGAGGCAATTCTAAATCCTACAGTTCAATTTTTTTAGTTATTTTCATCCTTTCAACCAGTTTTGATAAAAACAACCTTATTGTCTTGCTTTTGCCAAATCAACAGCTCTAATGAGATCTGTTATAGAACAAATTCTGAAAGAAGATGAATTCCTACGTATCACTGCCATACTGTAAATCAGTGTGTTTTCATCAGCTGAAGTTTCTCCATGTGCACATTTTATTCTAGTGCTGTATTTTGAAGACATTATTTTTATTAAGCAAGTATTGAAATAGAAAGTGACACAGGTTTTTCCAAGGTATTCTCTTAAAATGTATATTCTTTGAACTTAACTCATGCTACTCAGGTATTTGTGCTAGGTAAGAATTTGCTTTCTCTTGATGGAATTAAACTGCTTATATGAATTGCTTTCTGTCTCGCTGATATCTTTCTCTTACACTGAACAAAATCAGCTTTGGAATATACTTTATTAAAAAAAAATAGACCTGTAATGATGGGATTTTGTACTGTTTATTTTGTTATTTCTCCGTTTGAAAAGGAAAGTATTTCCTTATTAAATGTTGTGTGTATTGCTGATGAGTGTATGGCAAAAAATTAATACTATTGCAAGGCTGCCTGGATGTGCTTACAGATTTTTTTTCTTGAAAAGCTTGTTATGTGTATTTGATGGGATTTTAATGGTAGCTGGTGTATAAACTTAATTTCTTTAAAGCCTAATCTAGAAATAAGGGCTTCACTGTGTTAGCATTATGTTTACATAGATTTAGAAATTCTGCCTTAAGATCTAGACAGACAGGCGAGGTGAGAGTTTTGTCAAGATAAGTGGTGTGTCTGGATACTGAAGAAGAAAATATTGTTGCTGAATTAGGAAAATTGGAAGTATATAGAATAGATAACTGGTTTTGGTGTAAGAATTTTATCTAGGATGAAATGGGAATATTTGGGCTTTACTCTCTATTTTGCCAGATTTTGGAGTAGCATTTCTAAGACTATTCAGCACTAGAAGGGGGTGTAAGTAAAATGTTGAGACAAAAAAAAAACCTTCAAGCTTCCCTGGAAAACTAAAACAAGATTCTGTTCCCATCCCTTAAAATGTCAGCCATAACCTGCTTTGTAGTTTATGTCTCTCCCTTTCTGCCATGAAAACATAAGGATTGGAAAAAATTCCTTAAATTGTCTTAGACTTTGTAATGCCCTTCTGATTAATGTATTTCAGGTTAATATAAAGCATTAGTTCTTTTGCCTTGAAACTGAATGAATATTCAGTGATAATATCGAGCTTTGGCCCGTCTTGTGGAAGCTTGTTTGGCCAATAGACCTAGAAGAATGTAATCTGCGACTGCACTGGTTTTACTTATTTAAAGTATTATTAGCTATAACTTTGCATTAATATTTCCTCTGCTATGGTGAAGAAAATTGGCATTGTCAGTAACCATGTTACAGTAAGAATTTTCCATGAGGATCAGTTGTTGGCAAGATCAGGGGTTAGCAACTAATTCGTTTGGAGTCATCTGGAAACCATGGACATCCAGAAGAAATGCTTAATGAAGTACATACTTAAAGTGGTCACCTTTTTCTGCTACCCTATTTTTCTCTTTCAGGGTGTATTGTCTGATCTGACAAAGGTAACTGGTCTTCATGGTCTGGACCCAGTGTTGCTTGTGTTAGTGGTTGGAATAGTGATGTTTACTTTGGGATTTGCTGGTTGTGTAGGAGCGCTGAGAGAAAACATCTGCCTTCTGAAGTTTGTAAGTAACACCTTTATATGAGTGGATTATGTATGAGAAAGTTGGGAATGATGGGTGAATAACTAGTAGCAAACTCAAATAATTAATTTTTAGAACTTTGTTACAATGTATCACGATGTCTGTTACAACTTACTCCCCTAACAAGCTTCTGAGTAATGGTATGAAAGCAGCGTAGGTTCAAACCTATATATATATTTTCCCCTTCCTGGAAAGTGTTTTTTTCCCTTTTTTATTTATTCTGTTATGGTGGTGATGTTAAAGTATTGTATACCAGAATCTAACATTGTGTATGTAATATCACAGAATATGATGTTTGGAACATATTCAGTGTTCCAAACTGAACAGGAATTAGGAATTGCTGAGAGGAGATGGTATAGTAGCTTAGGGAGAAAAAAAAGCCCTTAAAAATTTAATTTTTTTTTCTAAATGGACAAAACATGGGGACTTTGACAAATGTCAGATCTCTTAAATTTTATTTTTTTTTTATACTGAGGCTGCTTCTTTGCTTTAGATCTGAAAACGAGCTGAACAAAAAAGTTGTAAAACTGGAAACAATTCAAGAAGTAACATCAAGACTACTTCAGCGCTGTATTTTGCACATTCTTATTTGTTATCACTGCTGTGCATAATGACTGTGGTGTGGTGCTTATTTTACTGTCGAGTTTAGGTGACCAAAATAAAGATAACTCTCCCTCTTGGGTGTTTCTTTACATTATTCTCATTTTAACAGGCTGTGTTCTCATAGTATTTTTAGTGAGTAAGAATTTTAACCTAATTCTCTGTGTCTGTTTCTGGTGGAGTTGGAGTAGGGATGCATTCAAAATGAATGGATATTTTCTAATTTGTGCCTTTTATTTTTACAGTTCTGTGGAGCAATTGTGTTTATATTCCTGCTGGAGGTGGCAGTGGCAGTTCTGGCTTTCCTGTTCCAGGACTGGGTGAGGGACAGGGTCAAAGAATTCTTTGAGAACAATATTAAATCCTACCGAGATGATATTGACCTCCAGAACCTCATTGATTCGCTGCAGAAAATTGTAAGTTCATATCCTATCACTAGTCTCATGTGTTCTAGGAGAGTATGTAGATTTGGAAGTTTTCCTTTTTGTTAAGATTTTATCATATTCTGTAGTTAATAGTGCCATGTTACAGATGTGCTGGTTTGCTCTTTTTGCACTGAAAGCATCAGGGAGGCAAGATATTCTAAGAGATAATGCTGTTCTAACTGTCAGTGTGGAAGCTCTACGAAGCATGCATCTGTCTTTGACCTTCTTCACTTGCTCCCCTGTTCTTATCAGTGTTGCACCAGTTTAAGAGGTGAAAAACAAAAACACTGTCCTGAGAAAATTGTGCACAGTGATTGTGTAGTACTTGGTTGCCTACTGGGGTTAAATCACAGTAATTAGCTGTATATTGCCAACGGGTTACCTGTCCTGTTCATTCAGTCTTGTGTGCATTGTTATGGAAGCATCCTCTTACTAATCTACCTGGTTGGATTTCAGTGCTGTTTTGCTTTAGCTTTTGGTGCTAAGGGCACCTTTTTGTAAGGTGGGGCTCCTCCTGGCTATGACCAACACCAGTAATTTTCTCAGTATTGCACACTCTGTTCTTTGTTTACCTAGTTTCAGTATAGTCATCCAGGCTAATACACTAAGCTGATTTACAGTTGAACTCCAATTAAATACTTTTCAATGAAAATAAAAGGCTGAATGTACTAAGAAGAGTTCAGTAGCCAGACTAACATGCTAATAAGCCTGAAAAAGGAAGGACCAGAAAAATCTCTCCATTGGCCTGTCATTGATTCATGCATGAAAGTACTGAGGAAGGAAGGATGCAGTGTGGATAAGCAGGTGTAGTTCTGCAGGGGCTGAGCAGCAAGATAGAGCAGTCAGTTCAAGTGCCTCAGTGAAGCCCATCTTCTAAGGAGCTACGCTTCTTAGGCTGACTTGCTCTGTTCTCAGTGTGTGCCTTGGGACCCTGAGAGGTTTTTGTAGGCAGCTTCCTGCTCTGGCTAACTTTATTGCTTTCAGGCCTGTAAATGACCTCATAGTCTGTACCTGATGGAATTAGATTAACATGCTTTTGGTGGTTGTATGCCTTATTTACAACAGATGTGTCAGGGAGGAGGGACCAGAAAGATGAAAACAAACCTCTTCTGCTTTCTTCATGGTAAATGACTGTTCTGTTCAGCTCTCCTTAGTTATATATATGCTGCAAAAAAGTTACAAAAGCAACTGTCCACATCTGTTGCTGTCACAGTTTGATAAGTTGTGAATCCATTTACTAACTTCAAGTTTTGGTAGTCTTACAGACAGTTAGATTGATATAAGTTTTGTGAAGATGGGTGTTGGGCAGAGGAAAGATTCTAGAGATATCCCAAGAGGATGGAACTTCATGAAGTACCAGAAAAATCTATGTGATGGTATAACATTTCAAGTAATCAAGTTCTAGAGAAAGATTTGTGCCCTCAGATATCCAGGCTAGTAAGCTGTAAGGCTTAACCTAATAAGAAACTAGCTTTCATTAGTTCAAGAAATTGACCATTCCTTGTAATGGTGTGATTTCACCAAACTGCAAATTGTGATAACTGTAGTACACTGTTAAAAAGTATTTCACATAGGTTTCTTTACCTAGAGTTGACTGACCTTTGAGCTAGTGAGACTTTACCAGCTAATTAATTTGGATATGAAAACCTTCTCATTTAAAAGGAAGGATGTTCTTAAGTGCTTGGATCCACTTTTTACAGTAAACATGAAGATTTAAAGATGGGGTTGCAAATTTAAAGTTTTTTTTTAATAATTTTTCTGGTTTGGTTGACTTGGAAACAGTGGGGTAGAAAGCATTTGTTAAACACTTTTGTTGCACCATTTATGGATGTTCACTGATTGCATCTAGCAATTACCTCTAAAGTGATAATTTTTATGATTCTGTCACACTGACACCCATTTCCAGGAGCAGTATGCCAAATGTATTGCTTTGATTTCATAGAACTACTTTATTGGTTACTAGTGTTTTACTCTGATGCTGCTGTTAATTCTGCACAGTGTTAGAGGAAGTGAAGATGATAAGCAAAAATCATTCCAGAGAAAGCGTTCAGTAGATAAGTTGTCTCTAAAATATCCCCAAATGCTAAGAGTTCATTTATGTGTTACAGAACCATTGCTGTGGTGCCCAAGGGCCAGATGACTGGGACTTTAACATATATTTTAACTGCAGCAGTGAAAGCAAAAGTCGTGAGAAGTGTGGTGTTCCTTTTTCCTGTTGTATACCTGATCCTGCAGTAAGTTGTTTCCTGGTTTTGTATTGCTCTGATGTTGTTGGAGAGTTATAAACGGAAGCACTTCCTGGATAAAGTGTGATGACTAGAGCTTTAAAAAGTCTTCTGAATGATCAAAAAATTACTCTTGTGCATATTCTTTGTGCACTCTTTTCATGTTTCTGTTCTAGACTTTATAGAGTCCAAATGTGGCAACCTGTTCTTCCATGGCTTGAGTGGCTGATTTTTATGCCCTACCCCAATGTGTTGTTGCCTTGAATTTCTGTCCTCTGTATAGCTTGTAAGGACCTGAGAGCACTGTCTAAGCAGTGCTTGCCCTAGTTAATACAACATTCCCCCCTCTGCCAGACAAGCAGGAGTAACTATTTGCTGGTTGTTTATCAGCAACTAATAAAGTGCTTATGCACAGTCTCAGTTTAAAGCATGTTGAGTAAATTCTATGGTTTTGCCAAGATTTAGGTGAGATCTGTTTACTAAACTTCAGGAATCTAACCTTTTCAGTGGAAGCCAGAATGTGGAGGTAGGACTAACATATAATGCTTGACAGTATTAGTAGGAATAGTTACAGCTCAAAGTTGGTCCAGAAGTCTGTATGCGGAATAGATAACTCTTGGTAGGTTATACGGAGGCTTTTGATTGTCTTGGAAATCAGCCAAGGAAAGACTTTGTCAGGGAAATATTCCATATTCAGATTTCCCAGTAATTATTTTCTACTTTAATTTGGATCAGTACTATTCAACTGCTGTATTTAAGGAGACATAAGTGTGGTTAAATCTTCTTAAGAAGAGATTTACTCCTAATAGTTCAATATAACTCACTATGGATTGTTTGAATTGTGCTGTAGTTGTGTAGTACGTAAGTTTTCATAAGGCTCATGCAGAGAAAACAGCAAGTCTTCAATGGAATGTCTTTGCATCTTTGGAGATGAATATTGTCATTGGGTTGCGTAGGGTTGTGATTTGGAAGATGTTTGTGGTCTTCCTACTTGGGATCTGCGGCTGAAACATTTTGTCTTCATGACTAGGTATGTCTTGGGGCTGGGTTATATGTGAGACTGAACTATCAACTGAGGGGGCTCAAGTAGCTTGCTGCTGTTACTTATTTTAAACTGATTGGAATAGCAAGTTGTATACCACTTGAAATGATGGAATTGTAAGGCGTGTGTCTTCATTGCTGGTATAAATGAATCAGCCAGATCTTTATTGTTACCTCAGTGTTTAGGTGTTATGTGTAATACCTAAATGAAACTGATCTTGGAAATGTAAATGTCTTATTTGTATGCTGGCAGTACATTTACTCTGCTTTATGTTAAAAAGTCCTTGCTAGTTGAAAGCCAAGTGATAGAAGCAGCTAGGATTTCTGGTGGAGGATGTTTTCCTGCGACTATACACCTCTGCTTTGTCATTACTTTTCTTGTATTCTGCTAGTGCTTTGCTCATTTTTAGTAAAAGTACTTCTTAAAATGTTTGGCTCTGACAGTCCTGATTTGTTTGTCTGTGAAATCTTAAAAAAAAATTTCTGTAAACAGAAGTAAGTAAAATTCAGTTGATTTATTTTAAATCTCTCTTGCTTTGCAGCAAAAAGTTGTGAATACGCAGTGTGGCTATGATATCAGAAAGAAGGTAAGGTACTGGGGTCTTGCTATCTGTCATTCTGTGCTTGCATAAGCAAAATTATAAAAATGGTGAAATTGCTGATAGTTATGTCAGCTTAAAATTCTGGGAACTAATGGACTGTGCCTCATACTGCAAGTAAACCTCTACTGTGAGAGGGTGGAGAAAATAAGTGATGGAATGAGTAAAGGGAAAGGTGTGTTTCAAAAAGGGGTATTACTTGCATTTCAAATGTGCATTTCAGTTATTAGTTATAATAGTCTAACTCTGAATTCTATTATCTGCTAATTATAGAGTATTCTAATAACAGGATTAGCAGAAAGATAATAACATCAGTGTCTGACATTCCCTGATTTAATCAGGGCATACATGTATTTCTAGAGTCTTGTTAAAACATTACTGCATAAGTGACAAATTGTCTACCTATATCATGTGATTGTTCTTATCATAAACTTGAGCAGAGAAGTGATATTCTTCCTCTCTACATTCAGAGCAAGAGTCAATGGGATGATCAGATTTTTGTCAAAGGATGTATTCTTGCCCTTGAGGCTTGGTTACCCCGAAATATCTACATTGTTGCAGGTGTCTTCATAGCTATCTCACTGCTCCAGGTTAGTTGCTTTTGGTATACTACTTTGAAAAAAAATTCAAGTTTGCAGATACAGACCTAATGAAGGGAAAAGTAGTGATAGTAAACGCGGAGTTAATAGTTTGACACAGGGTTTTTTTTGTAGGTATGAGAATAATACGGCAAAAAAAAATTATGGGGATGGGGACTTAGAGTGAAAATACCTGATATCAACTAATTCTGTTGAAATTATATTACTCAAACCTATGAAGGTCACTGTAGAAATACAGTGCTATTATAATCCATAAATTATATGATTATTTTCTATTGTTAGCATATTGTTAATATATATAATTATTACATAATGTGATACAGTACTTCTTATGTTTCAATGTTCCCTGAGGCAAGGGAGATCTGGTCATCTGCTCCAATAGATCTGTTCTATAGCCTTCTATCACAAATGTGAAATGACTGAAATACAGTTCTGCACCCATGTTAAAACTACCACTTGGCTGTAAGCGATGTATAGCATACTCCTCAAAAAAAGTTGAGACCATGAGATCAGGGAAATTGGTGAACAGGATGCAAACGTGATATTAGCAGACCCAGATGAAGCTGCTGTGGCTTCTTCCAGTACTTTTGTTGGTGCTTGGTACATCAAAGAACAAAAATTCCCAGTAAAACATATTGGATTACTTCTTTCAAAGAGCATCCTGCTTTCATTTGAGGCAGCTGTGTACATTTACCTAATTTTTTTTTGATATGTTACCACTAAGGTGGAAATAACAAAGTTGTTGGCCTACTACAGAATGTATTTTCCAGTTGACTGAAAACAACATAGTGCTGGCAAAATACCTTTTCTCGACCATGGCAATACTGCCCTCTGTTGCTAAGTTTTTAGTATTTTATTACCATCTAATTATATGCTTATATGGCTTTGAGAGATGCTGTCCTGAGAGCAACACCTTTAGTTAGGAAGATGTTCAGGATATAAATTCACATCTTTTGGTAGTGTGTTGACTGACAATAACTTCTTGTTATTCTTTTTCATGTCCTGAATCTCTGGGAAACCATTTTCACAGTCACTTGTCTTTTCAGATTGAGTCTTTCTTGTGCGTTAAACTATTCCATTGTGAGACTGAGAGTTAGACATAACCTGACTACTTCTGTAAAGAAATCTTTTTAGCTTTTCTGAAACTTCACTCCAGTCTGTAATTTTTTAATGCTGTTTCAGGATATGTGCTGAGTTATGGATATATCTTAAATTTGTAAAGGAAGATTTCCCTGAGAACTGGAGTGAATGTTAAAACTTTAAATTTAAATGTCTCAGAATAATCTGGGACATCTCTCACTATTCTTTGTGACAAGAATTTCATTTTAGTACAGGTAATTGTTTGGTTTATATGTATTTTAAAAAATTGTTCAGAAATTGACTTGATTATTCAGAGTTGTAGAACAAATGAAAATGCCTGATTTGTAACTTTAGCAACAGCTAAGTGAGTTATAAGACTCAAACTTGGCTAAGTGGATTTCTTCCAGCTCTAGGGCGTAAGAAGCTTATTATTATGAATGCTTCTGAAGTGTTACATGAAAGCATCTTTTTCTCATAAGTTTTATTTCCTGCAAGATTCTGCTGCCTTTATTACTTTTTAGTCATAGCTATGCTCTGATGGATGTTCCTAGCTATGAAATGATATCTAAACCTGCAAACAAACATCTTTCAGGCTGGTATATTACAAGTGTTTCATCTCACAAATTTTTGTTTGTTTGTTTTTGTTTGTGTTTTAGATTTTTGGTATTTTCCTAGCCAGGACATTGATATCTGACATTGAAGCTGTAAAGGCAGGTAATGCCTTTTGAATATAAAAGAAAAAAAAAAGTGTATTTTATAGTTACTGGTTGGACACCAAGGAGGAAGAAATACACAGGCCATGAAAAACTCCTGCTAAAAGCCTTATGTGGATTTTGCCCAGCTCATGCTTTTTTGTTGGAAGCTGGTACAAAAACAAGATCTCAGAACACACACCCTTTTTTCTGACAAAATGACTCGGTGCCAGCATTGATCTCTGAGGAAGAAATGGAATTTCTCAAGATATTGGTGGAACAGATTTTGAGGATTGTAGCAAAAAGTCGTGAAACTGCTGTAAACTCTTTCCTTGAAAGATTACTGTGAAGACTCTTCTGTTTTCTCTCCCAGCTGTCATCAATCTCAAAATGTAATCTTTTAGAAAAGTGTGCCGATTTCTTCAGAATGTTGAAATCATTTTAATGTCTACAGTAGACTCATGCCGTCATTTTTGGCAAGGTACCCAGCAACCATAATTGTAATGGTATTGGAAGTTGAAAAAAGAAGAAAGTCCCAAATTGTCTAGATCTTTAAATGATTTTCAGTTGTACAGAAGCAAGGGTATTTCTGTTTGACTGGGAATTGCATAGATGTCTCAGGAGCAGGAACCTTGTGCTCAGCATCAGAGTTTGAGTAACCCATGCTGTTTTGAAAATGCAAGCCCTTCTTCCAGAGGGGAAAAATCTTACTATCTGTAGCATTAGATGTTAGAAATCCCCATTTCAGGCAGGGGGTGTGAATCCTTGATGCTGTTTCCTGTCTAAAAGATTTTAAATATTCTTTATAGAGAAAAAAACTCCTTAAAAATGCTTAGCTTTTTATTGATTGGTAATATCATTTAAAAGTTCTGTCTGCAGAAATTTCAAAATGCAACTTGCTTCAGTAGGTAGCAACCATGATATGCTATGAACCCCATGTTCATGGGTTTTTGCCCTTTCCTCCATTTTTTCTTACGACTGCTATATTGATCTTCAGAAGTCCTAACTGTTAATGTCAGGACTGATGGAAAACATTTCAATTCAGCATTGATCCTTACTGAAATCTGTTTTTTTTATGAGAAAATATGTATTTACTAAAAGATTAGAGTTGTTGAATTTTTTTAATCTTCTGTAAAGCTATTGAATTGTCAGTTCGGCTTGTATTCTGATACACAGTTCAAATGCTAGTCACAGTAGTGATCCAGAATGATTTCTTCACAGTAATCTTCTACATCAAACTTAACTACTGCTGAAGTAATTTTATTTTTTTTTCACCTTATTTTTATGAGAAGAAAACTACTATCTCTTTCCCATCATCCCTTCTTGGGGTTTCAATAGATGGATCTGTAGTTCAGTAGGAGTTCCAGTCTTCTGTAAAAGATTTTGGCATAGTATTTTTAACTTTAAGATAGAATTATGTGACTGAAAAGTTCTTGGAAGTAGCTGTCAGGTTTGCTGTGGGCCATATAACTAACATTGTTTACTCTTCCAGTGACACCCAATTTTTTCAGGAAGAGCAGATTTATTTACAGTGCCTAACACTGTGTAAATTTTAAAAAAAGTATATATTTTTATAGTATTTTACTACACGTAGCCTGCCTGAAGGATTTAATACTTGTATTTCCAAAGTATATAGCTTTTTTAGGAAGCCAAACTTTTAAATCTCTCTCCAATGTCCTTTTTCTCTATTATGCATGTATCAACAAACATTTCACTGGCAAAAGCTGATCAACAGTAAGGATCTTAGTATCTGTACTGATTGTCAAGATACCCTTCCAGCTTTTAATTTCTGAAGCACTTCACAGACAGTGCTATGCTTCTCATGTAAATCAGTTCAGCTTTCACAGATCTTTTTCTGGCTAGTGATTGAGACACAACAGGAAAAGGAAGCTTGTCTAAGGATGGCTGATTTCCCTACAGTAGCAGAGAGCACTGCTATTAGTCATCTGAAAACATTAAAGAAAGTGCTAGAAGTGCACTGTCATTTATTTTTATTTAGCTTTGATATACAACAAGAAAACAGTAGCAGTAGATCACTGAGGGGAAAGCAAGAAGCAGTTCTTCTGTAGAGCCTTGAATTTGAGGTCTGTGTTACTTATTTTGTTAAATCTAGTCTATTAGGAGCAGGCAAAAAATTGCTGCTGTTATTGCTGCTTTGCAAGCAACAAAGCCATGTCCAGCAACCTTTGCTTTAAACTGGTGCTTGAAACTTTACAACACCTCATCAACCAATTTATTCTGTTAAGGCTATGAGTAATAATCTGATGTGTATAAAAATTGAGAAGGATGTTTTCTATTTGTAACTTTTTATTCATAAAACATTGCCTTTAAAATTGCATATAGGGAGCATGTTTCCCTTTGCCAATTTTTGGCACAGAAAGCTCCTAATGCTGTGAAGTAATTTCAGCAGTTGGTAAAAATCAACATGGTGTCAAAGATACCTGTGGAATTCATGCACTGAAATTAGCTACTGACAAGAACCAGCATCACAGATCAGAATTCTAGTGTCTGCAAATCTTGCCAGATTGCCTGTAGACAAATGAATACTTGGTTTCATTTTGAAGTACTGTTTGTATGCAAAACAGATTTAATGGAAGTGTTGTCTTTCCAGTGTGTTCTTACCAGCTTTGGCCATATTAATTTGATAGATGGACCACTTGGTGGACAAAGAGATGGCTGGGTGGCCGCACGCAAAGAGTTGTGATCAATGGCTCAATGTCCAGCTGGAGACCAGCAACGAGTGGTGTCCCTCAGGGATCAGTGTTGCGACCGGTCTTGTTCAACATCTTTGTCGCTGACATGGACAGTGGGATTGAGTGCGCCCTCAGCAAGTTTGCTGATGACACCAAGCTGTGTGGTTCGGTTGATACGTTGGAGGGAAGGAATGCCGTCCAGAGGGACCTTGACACACTTGTGAGGTGGGCTGATGCCAGCCTTATGAAGTGTAACCATACCAAGTGCAAGGTCCTGCACCTGGGTCAGAGCAATCCCAGGCACAGCTACAGCTTGGGCAGAGAAGAGATTTAGAGCAGCCCTGCACAGAAGGACTTGGGGGTGTTGGTCAATGAAAACTAAACATGAGCCGGCAGTGTGCTCTCACAGCCCAGAAAGCCAACCGTATCCTGGGCCTCATCAGAAGGAGAGTGACCAGCAGGTCAAAGAAGGTGATTGTGCTCCTCTACTCTGCTCTCATGAGACCTCACCTGGAGTACTGTGTGCAGTTCTGGTGTCCTCAACATAAAAAGGACATGGAACTGTTGGAACAAGTGCAGAGGAGGGCCACAAGGATGATCAGGGGACTGAAGCACCTCTGGTATGAAGATAGGCTGAGAAAGTTGGGGCTGTTCAAGCCTGGAGAAGAGAAGGCTGCGTGGAGACCTCATAGCAGCCTTCCAGTGTCTGGAGGGGGCTGCTGTGGAAGGACTCTTCATTAGGGACTGTAGTGATAGGACAAGGTCTAATGGGTTAAAACTTAAACAGGGGAAGTTTACATTGGGTATAAGGAGAAAGTTCTTTACTGTAAGGGTGGTGAGGCACTGGAATGGGTTGCCCAGGGAAGTTGTGAATGCTTCATCCCTGGTGTGTTCAAGACCAGGTTGGATGAAGCCTTGGGTGACATGGATTAGTGCGAGGTCTCCCTACCCATGGCAGGGGGATTGGAACTAGATGATCTTAAGGTCCTTTCCAACCCTAACTATTCTATGATTCTGTGTTTCTATATTAACACCAGCTTTGTATCATCAGTACTGCAGTTACTGGGAACTGAATTCATTAGAGCAAGTTCAACCTGTTTAAGGATCTATAAATTCATGGAGTGATTTGTTTTCACTGAGGATAAACTTCTCTGTCCTTGCTCAGTGTTACTTTTAAAACCCTAGAGCTCTAGGCTGGTATACCCCAAGGCATTTTGAAGTGCACCCCTATTGGTTGTACACATGGTAAATGTAATTTTGGACTTGGAATGGAAATACTGTCTTAAAACTTTCTGCCTAGCACCTTCTCTGTGGACCTGAAGTGACTTCATGGGTAAAAATTTAAGTTATGGTTTAAGAAAAGTCTTATCAGCTAAAAGCTGTTGAGTGTGAACCTGCCTCTAAAGCCTTGAAGGAGAAGCAATTCAATGATCTCACGAAGAGAGGTTTGGTAAATTGTTGGTGTTGAGATTTCAGTGGTTACATTCAGAACGACTCCACAAACAGTACAATGGAAATGAGTTTTAATGATGTCAAATATGAGATCAGACTTGAATAACTAGACTGAAAAAGAAACATTTCAGTGTGATCCCTTTTATTTCTCTGAAATAAGCACAATCTATTTGTGTGAAGCAGTGTATTTATTTGGCAGTATGTATGACAGTACAACTGCCCTTTTGTTTTTATTAATATGTCTGCACTTGGGCACAGCTTCCTTGTATGGGAAGAGGTGTATGAATATAAGCCCTAAAAACAAGTACAGAGACCAAAGGAGCTTTGATCGTCTCCTAACACCTCAGTATTTCTTCCCAATGGGTTTTGTTTTGGTGATCCTTGTATGGTGCCATGTGGATAAACTTGTACCTCCAGTCCACTGAGGTCAGTGTGATGATTGGCTTATACATAGAACTTGGTTTTGGTTTTTGTCTCCCCATTCCATCGTTTCCTCTCCCTTCTCCCTGCCACCTGTGGTTAATCATGCAGCTTGAACACTGTTCAGCCAGTGGAAAGGGGAGGTTCTGTCTTCTGAGATGGCTTTTCTGAGTGACTTTCAGTATTTTTTTTTTTCTCAAGCATTATATTTGATTAAATAAAATTTAATGTTTTGTACTCCTGGAGTTTGATTTCTAGGATTTGTTGCTTCCAATCACTAGTGTTTCCCCCTCTAAGGTTTATACTGGCTACTGAGACTACAGTTTGCGGATAACTACCGGAACGGTAAGGGCCTGCTGGTGTTTATGTGTATATTTTGCTGAAACTAAGTCTTGGCAGCTGAATAATAGGTAACACTGGTACTTTTTTCTTCATTGCTAATCAAAAGCCATGAACAAGTAAAGAGCTGCAAAAAGGTGTAGAGAAATAATTAAATATCTGGACATCCATAATGTTCAAACTGCTGTTAGCACTTTGACTGCTGTTATCCACAGTTATCGCTCTTGTGATTTGAGCAGTCTGTGGTTTGTCATATTTGAGCAATGTTCCTGAAACTGTTCTTCAGAGTGCAGAAGGGAAGTCACTTCCAGGTTTGAAGATGAGACTTACCGAGATAGATTTGTGACTGCTTATTTGACCATTTTAATGTTTCTTTAATGCATTAAAACCTCATCTTAGTTTTAATAAGGTCAGAGAAATGTTTAACTAGTAGATAATGGCTATATTGGAATAATGCAATATCTGGAATTAGATACTCTGAAATTTTAACGCTGGATCATTTCTGGTAAGAATAACTTAACTTGAATATGGCTATTTGGTGTGTATGTATAAAACTTGTAATAGATTCTGATATATTTCATAGTACTTCTGGTTTAGGCATGATCCCATGAAGTTGAGATTGTCTGAAGCTATTTCTTATTTTGATATTGGAAATATTTAGGATGTCCGTATCACTGTGTGCTTTAGACTAGAGGAAAACTGCATGTGGTTCAGCTCTTGTTTTATTGTTCTCCTGCTATGTGGTCAAAATCTTGTGTGTTACTCACCAAGTGACTTGTGTGATGTGGCTTCATGAAATTCCCTTTCTCAAGAGTACTCATGATAATGTTATTTAGTGGGCTAAATAGTATTAACAAGTTTTTCAAGTAGGGAAGCTTTTGCTTTTACAGAGTTGTAATATTCGTGCACAGACCTAAACCATTTATACTCAGATTGTTTGAGAACTTGATGTCTCTTAAATATTCCCTGCTCTATAACAATTTTTTTAAAGGTCAGTATGTTCCTGTTTTTTTCACAGTAACTTTTAATGCTGACTAAAAGTCATTGTACCCTAGCTCTTCAGTAGCTACCACTAGAAGGTTTTGAATTTGATCTCCTAGGTCTTGGCAATGTGACTGCAACACACTTGCAACAGCTTCAAGAAAGTTCCTATAAGGACAATAGATCCTGTTACCTTTTTTTTTTATCAAGTGACCATTTTTAAATATGAAAGGTTGCTGCAGAACTGTTCAGAGACGTTTGTTGTACTACAGTTTTTCACTGTCTAGAATTAAACCCAGGTTCCCTTACTGGAGGTACCTCCAGCTGCTTCTAAATCTTCACATGTGCCCACCTATAATTTCTAGCTACCTTTAATTTGTATCTTGTCTAACCACTGTATGGACATTGAACTGCAGTTTCTTATAACTTTGTTTCTACCAAATCTCATTCCAGGTTGCAATAGCTGCAACTCTGAAATTAGGGCAAGACTGACCCTATTTGAGACATGAATATGGCATTTTACTTGCACTAGCAAGTAAAAACTCAGGTGAGCTTTGAAATTGGAAATTGAAGGGGAAGTTAGTTTAAAGGTACAGTTTTGCTGTGTTTATAAGATAATTAGTTAACAGCTGGTCTCGCAGGTTGATTCACCATGTGCAGAGGTTGAATTTGTGCCAATTAGCCCTTTGCATTTTTTAAGCTACAGCTCTTATGTAAAACCCCAGTGTTTCGGGTTGCATGATATAAGCTTGAGATCTTTTTGTAATGATTTTGAAGTCCCGTTGATACAATACAAAGTTGCAAGTGATACCCTGATTTGATAGAACCAAGCACCTGAAAAATATATTGCAGAAGTAGTAGTTGTCTGATGCTTCTAATGTGATGTGTTCTAAGACTACTTGCCTTATTCCTACTGCTGTGCGTTAGTACCTCAGAGAAGAACAGCAATGATGTAAGCATCTGTAGGCCAAATAGATGAACAAATGAGTATTCTTTTTTTCTGTTATGTACAGCTTTAAAAGCAGGAGCTATACCTGGGCTTTAGTAGTCTTGGTTATGTGGCAGCATGATGTATGCAAGGTTGGGTTGTCAAAGCTACTGTTTACTGCGTTTGCCTCAGTGGCAGTGCAGGGTTGCTCTGGGGAAGAAGGGAGGCTAGTGGGGTGTTTCTCCTCTCAAAACTTGTAATGTTGTGACAGCTTCTTTGACTACATTTGCATTGCTGTGACTGCAGAGTTGTTCCAGGGTTTCTTTAATCTTGTCCTCTTCTATTTCTTGCCTCAGATCACCTGAATAATGATGAAAAGCTGAGTTTTAGTGACATGCCATGGCATAGTGGCTCCCAACTATTGTTGTAAGATAAGAGTTTGGAGTATTTACTGTTTAAAATGAGCTGATTTAAGTAAACTTCTCTCAAGAGACACACTTTTCAGCCATTGAAAGTATTTAACAGGTTAAGATTTTATTTTTTCTTTTCCTCCTGTTTGACTTCCAAGAACTGATTGAACAGAAGGAAAGGACTTTGTTGAAAATATAATACAGGACAAGTTCCAGGATTTTTTTGCCTGTATGCTTTTTGTTAGTCTTTTGTATTGGCAAGACCTAATTTTTAATATTAGTTATAATTTATAGAGTGCTAAGTATAGACACCTCTGGAAAGAAAAGTCTTAGAGATACATCTGTTGTGTCAGTACCCTGTGGTAGCACTGAAGGATGCAAGTACTTATTCCTGTTCCAAAGTCTGTGTGGCTACAGGAGAAAAAAGAAAAAGTATACTGCAAAATCCATCTTGTCTGTCAATACAGAGTGACTCCAGGATTCGAAAGGCAGTTCCTCTTGTGGCAGATCCTTGCCTTGAGCACAATCATTTTCAGCTTACATGATTTATGTATTAAGATGTGAGAAACTGGCATGAGATCTTTGGCCTCCTGGTTTCAAGGTGGTTGTTTTCAATTAGTGCCACACATCCAGGGTAAGTCTGATCTTGCAGAAAGCATTTTAAGTCCTTCCTAACCATAGAGTGAGAGAAACTGAAATCATATCCTTCATATGTTTAACTAAAAGTTGCTGTGCAAAGGCAGCATTGCTAAAATTGCAGTTTTGTCTGCTTCTCCTTTGCTGACAGCATAAGCAGAATAAATATATGTCTGCATGTGGAAGATGATGCAGACTATTTTGTGGAACACAAAAAGGCTGTGGTACATACAGGACCTGGGACTGCCAGACATTTGTGCATGGTGAATTTGGACAAAGATGCCTTTATTTCAAGGCTCTAATTTTACTATTTCAGGACTTGATTATGCCACTGACTCATTGAAATAAAGCCTTTTTCTTTTTCTTTTTTTTTTAAATTCAACTGATGGTTTAATCAACTTTTCCATACAGAAAGAAGCTGCTCAACTGGGATTTTTGGTGATGAATAAAGGATTAACCTGTTTAATTCCTTTACTACTCACTGACTGCAGCATTGCAAGCAGCACATTTCAGTAACAGAAAATGATGGTTTTCTGTTACTGAAAACACATCAGAAATACCTATCTTTTAATGACAGAAAACTTAAATTACCTGAATTAAGAAGACTGCACAGAAGACCCATTGAGTTATATTTCACCTCAGGACTTGTATTATCATCTTGTAGAAGTTTGTGTAAGCTTTGAACTAGCTGTAATTCCTTAAAAGATTCTTCAAGGGTTTCTGAAAAATAAGCAAGCAAATACCTGAGCTGTTACCTGAAAAGAAGCTGGGAAGTGAACATGCTTCCTTTTTAAAAATTAAATTCCTGACAAGCTTCATTTCAAATTGGCTATGCAGGGATGTCTTGGGCATCTGTTGTCCCTACTGGAGAATTTCTGTATTATTTTTCATGTAGCGTTTCTTCACTGCTCTCATTCTGGAAGACAGAACCTATGTGCTGTAGATTGTATAAAATAACTTCATAATAGATTAAGATTTGCAATGATTGGTGCTACAAATGTGGATTTGCATTACTTGCCCAGTTGAGTTTGAGAGCCTTAATGGTGGACTGAGCAGTAAAATGGGCTCTTTATTGTCTTGTTATAGGAAACTCCAAATTTTCAGTTTATCTTTTGATTTATGTAGGTTTGTGGTGACTGTCTTTATTGTAGTAAATTGAGACCCATTTTCAGATGCGGTCAGCCATATAGGAAAAAGCTAAAAAAGAAGTATACTCAGTCTTGAAAAAAGTATACTCAGTCTTTCTGAAAATTAGCTCAGTAAAAGTAGGTACAGTTTTCTCACTTGTTTCATTTGCACCTTCTACAAGGCCCTTTTGTCTATGCTTCTGCTTTGTTTCCTGCATTAGAATGTCTGTTTTCTGAAGATTATTTCTTCCATTTAGTCTTCCTTGACCATTCAAGTCCATAATTTGTCCTTAATTTTGTCTTCATTTAGGCTTTCTCATCTTTTTTTCTCTAGTCTTCATTACCTTTCTGTTTTGTTGTGTAGGTTTCTAGCAATATACCATTCTACTCGTAGATTGTGCCTGTCCACACAACCTGATCATTTGACTCTAAACAGAAAAAAAAATCTTCAGGCAATTACTGTAGCCTGCTGCTTTTGTCATCTTCTGAATGGCTGACCTTTATTTCATGCTGAAGAGCTACATCTAGGCAAGAAACACACTTTTTCTTAACATGGTACATAGAACTAAGAGCATTATCATGTTTTTTTAATAATTGAGGATCTTGCACAAATAATTGTTTTCAGGAGAAAAGTACCTAAATTGATTGCAGATGCTATTGCCAAGGCATTCAGAGCCTCATTCTGCATGCCAGCATGTTCACTTGTTGTCATGGAAATCAGATGCTTCACTCCTTGTGCCTCCTGGATGGCTTTGACCACTTCCTGTTAGATCAAAGGTAAAATATCACAAATGGAAATCTGACTTGTGAATAATGTAAAATGAAGAAAGAAATTATATTGCACTCTTCAGCCTCTTAATTGATGGCAATGATTTACCTGCTGCAGTGCAAACCAGTATATGATGACTAAATAACATTGCTTTGGGCACTGACCATGCACATCTGCCTCGGGCTGGTCCAATTTACTTGGAATATCAATACTTGCAATTGTGTATATGTATATCTATAAGGTAATTTTTATATTTTGTTTTAAGAGGTTTAGTTTGACCTAACTTAATTTTTTCATTTCAAGCCTGCAGACTAGCAAATATGAGTTCTACTTTATCAAACCCTTTGCAGATAGTATCTACTTTTTTTGTTGCTACCTCAAATGAAGCATGATTGAGATGCCTGTGTATGATGACATGATATACAAAAAACAGATCCTGTTCTAATATGCCAGCAGGCACAGGTCATGCCAGATTTATCCATCACTAGGTAGGTAAGTGGGCTCTTTGCTCCTGGAGGACTGATATTTGGGACAGGTCTGAGTGATCTTTGCCATTTTATTTAGAAACTAATACAGAAATAGAAAAGCTTTACCTACTTAACATTTGTCAAGCCTTACTCAAGTTAAAAGTTGACAAGTGACAGTAAAGTAACCATGTTATTCATTTCTGTGCAGTATCTGTGGCTATGGAGAGCATGGCTTTTCTGCTTACCTCCCCATTACTGATACTGAGGCAGATGAGGGGTTTTTACTGTGAGGGGTTTTTACTGTGATTTTTTTTCATGTTTCTAATGATAAAGCTGTATGTGCTGTTTAACACAACCCCCAGCTATATCGACAAGCTTTAAAAATATTTGAGAAGGATAAAATAGATACGTATCAGGCCAGTAGCTCTCGTACTTGGGATCTGTTGTGATGCAAGATCGATGCTAGCAGCCGATTTGCTTCTCCATGAACACCAGTATGGTCATTAGTACTGCACCACTGCACAAGTCTGTTGAGTAGCATAGGGTCTTGGCCCAAGATTTCAGCCGCATCAGCTGAAGAGAAAAACATCATCAGGAGGCATTCAAAATCAAAGTTCTCAGTCTTTCTGTCACAGGCCTGAGCTATCCTTTAAGAGCTGTAACTAAAGCATTGGGTTTTAAGAAATCTTGGAAATATTACCTGAGGAATGCTACTTGTGTTACAGTAACTTTTGGAGTTGAAGAACAGAATGAGCTGTTCCAATAAACGTATCCTTTTTAAGAAGCTGTTGAAGCAGGGCTTAAAATGAGCAACTACATATCTTTGAAAACAAATGTTCTGCTGCTATCCTGAAATGTTCATGGGCTGTTTCCTGTGTAGTTTCTTGTACTTGCTGTTAGAGCTCTGAACAAATGAAATCGTGGGCTCTTTAGATCCTGTTCTTGCTGTTTCAGTTCTCAGTAATGGTGTTAATTACTGTTGGTAGCATGTAGGAAGCCAAGTCTTAGAGCAGGATTGCAGCATGTCTGTAATTGCATGTCTTAAGACTGTGTTTAACTGTGTATTAGGCATCATCAGGATGGTGAGCCTTTTAATGTGCATTACCTTGTGTTTCAGGAACCCTCTTGCAAGACTTGCTCGAAGTATTAATCTGTTGGTTGACATTTGGAAAAAAACCTCACTAGGTAATTTTTGCTAAGTAGTGGAACTCTCATGATAACACTGGCTTAATGCTCATTGCCACTAAGGAAGACTACTCCCAGAGCTCTTAGAATTTCAGGAGCAAAAGGAACTCTGATTATGCTCTTTATCAGTCAAACCCATGGTTCCACAGGAGTCTTACTGCAGTTTAATAACATGTTTTTAAAGTGCTGTGAATCAAATGTAACTAACTGGTAGAAAGTGATTTCCTGAGAAAAGCTAAAATGCAGGTAGAAGGGTGCTGAAGGCTGAAATACTCCTTTCAACCAGTTATGTTAAACAGAGGTTCAGCCCTAAGAACATCCTGGTAAATACTGCTCCAGTAATTTCAGTTAGTTGATCCTGTTCAATACTTAAAGACTGAAATTCTACATCTTGGTTCAACTGGTATTTCCTTCTGACTGAAGTGTACCAGGAGAAAGATAAGAAAGTAGTAATGTGCACAACTTAATTCTTTTTGTGGGAATTGAGTGTTCAACCATTTGGCTTTGAGCACAAGAGTTGTTTTGTAAACTGCCAAACAGCTGTTTCCATGCATTTCAGTTGATCATGAACTGAGGGTATAAAGGCGCAGTATTTCCAGCTGGGCATCAGATGTAGCAGCTGAGAGACAAGAGTAGTCATAGGACAGATGCTCACTTTCAGTGTAGAATTGTTCTATTTGCAAAAAATAGAAAAAAAAATACTGTAGTTATAAAATTTAATTCATATTTAGGAGTCTTGTATAGTTAAGGATTTTTCTTGTTGATGTCATTTTGGTGGTTCATAGTCTTATCCTGTGTCCACCCCTCATTGCTGGAGGACCACAGCAGAGGAACATGAAACATGCATTGTGTGCTCTGAAGGAGAGATGTGTTGAAGGCCTTCCTGGGCCGTGTACATTCCCTAAGAAGGATTTATAGGATTTGTGAGCTTCTTCCAATCTTTTTAATTTTTCCATTTTTTTAAAATAGTTCCAGTCCTGAAGTAAGGTAGCCAGGGAGATCCTTGCTCCTTTGGAAGCAAAGACTTGAGCTAGAACCAGTATTAACATCTGGAACCACAAGGAATAGGTTTGGCTGATAAGGGCATCACCCTGCTCCTGTCTCTTTATCTCTCTCTTTCTCTGTGTGTGGCATTTGTTTTGAAATATTCAGGAAAGGGTCAAATAGAGCATGCACACCAGAAGGTCAGTATCAATAAACCACATGATTACTCTGGATATTTTGCTGAAACCTGTCAACAAATAAGTCAAAATAAATCAACTTTACCCTTTCTATTTTGGGGAGGAAGACAAGGAAGGACAGACATGTTTGTTTGTTTATTTTTATCCAGTATGCTAAGAAACAATCCACAGATCAAAATCCCACAAGGAATCTGGGACATTCTAGCTTAGTTGAACATGTTTGTTTTGAGATGAGCTGCTTGTCATTGCACAACCACCTGTGTATTACCACATGTAACAAGCTTTTGTTTCTAGGTCAGATGTTACACATTAGTCTGAGGAGATCATGGTAATCCAATTTAGTACAGGAAGCAGAAAGTGATGAGAGGATGGTGAATGGAACCAGTCTAAGAGGTTTGATCAAAGGAAGTGTCTTGACCCAATTTGACAAGGACTTCCTGATGTCTACCAGCAATAGAGTTCTTTGAAATAAAACCCAATTAGTTATTAACAGGAACAGGCAGTTTTAACTTACAAAACACCAAATTTTAGTAATTTGTATGACTGAACTTTCAGTTCAGCTGAAAGTCTTTGGGCTGTTAAGTGCACAAATTCTTCTGCTCCTCTGAAGCAAAACAATGGAAAATCAGGAGTTAATGTTAACATCTCTTTAGTGTAATGAAGCTGACAGATCTGATTCCTGTTTTCTATAGTTAGAAAGAAATCCACCTCTTCTAGTCTGTAGGCTTCAGCATGCCCAGTGATTGTCACAGTAGTGAACTTATACTAGGTAATGCAATTAACTAATTTAGTGTGGATTTCTTAGTAGATGTGTATTCATAAGAGTTCAAGCTGAGTTAATTAAGGACAATAGTAACTCATGGGTAAACAGAATAGAAAGTAATTAAAGGTGGGAGAATTATGTGCTCATAGACAGGAACAGACAAACATTAAATAATCAGCCTTTTTGGTTTTTCTACTCTACACTTGAATATCTGTATTGTTTCAGATTCAGATATTGTAGCATTTTGTACCAAGTTCTGACTTTATACAAGGGCAGGTAGATAGCATTGAGTTTAAAAAAATGTATAAAATTTAGTGTTTCATAATTTAGATCTGTGTAGTTAAGATGCCACCGTTTTAAAAGCTAAACAGTCTCCATCACCATTCAGATACAACTTTGGAGAAATGATCTTTTAATTACTTTTTTTCAAGGCCTGGAAGGAAGAGGGTAAGTTTCTGTATATCTTGTAGTATACCTCGGTGAAATGTAAGTGAAAGCTTTTTACTGGACTGGAATCTGTTTATTAATATGTGGGCTAGATCTACATGTCTATCATGCATATTAGTTTGAAAAAGGATGCAAGTAGCTTGCTATATCGAAGTGATGTCTTCAGTGGTGTAAACAAGTATGCAGCATGGAATGTAGAAGACTGAGATTTTTTTCTCCTTCCATATAATTAATGAATTTTTAATTGTTCTGTACTGTCAGTTTCTATTGCAAAACAGTCACAACTTCTCTGGTTCTGTTTTGACCTATTGTTATTAGTGCACATCTCAAGGTCTTCTAGGGCAGCTGCTTTGGTGATATGAAAGAATTGGAACACTTATTAAGAAAACTAAACCCCACAATGCTTGTTTTTGTGTTATACTCTGGTAAGAAGCTATATAAATCTAAGGATAAATTTAGATACTATAATAGATCTTAACATAGTTCTGAAATTGTGCGTGTTTCTAAAAATGCAGGTATAAGCACAGAGTGAGTATTGTTGCCTTTGCATACCCACCTCTGTGTAGAAGTGAATGAAGTGCAAGTAAAAAATCCCATATTTCAATGTGCAGATTAAATTCAACATTTGAGCCGTATCAGGCAGAGAAACCTGGCACCATATGTGTAGAGAGACTGGGTGGTAGAAACTCATTTCTCCTGCCTCACTCCACCCCAGCTCCCTTTCATCCTTTTATTATTGTTTTATTATTTTTATTTATTTCATTTTATTATTATCATTTATTAGTTTTATTATTGATTTGCTTTCCTGTGATTTGGCACTGTAAAGCCTTAGCTTTAATCTTTTCCATTGTACTCATGCCTTGCTAGTATATCTCTGGTGGACAACATCTTTCTTTGAGGCCTTTGACATTTCTCACTGACTATGCAGATTTTTCCATTTGGTTTCTTTCTTATGTACTTCTGAGACTGACTGGGACAATATGGAAGGCTTGCAGCCTTTGGCAATCATCTGTGTTGGAACCTCTCCAGACTGAGTGGAATTAGGTCAGCAGGACTCTTAGCCTGTGTTTTCCTTGCCACATTCATTGTCTTGCAGGGAGATGGGAGAAGTGGGGTGGATATTTGACATAAGTAAACATTAGCAATTCCTTACCTTGACCATCTGCTAACATTCGTAGTGTTTCAAGGAGTTTAAACTGCACAGGAGGCATCTCTGACCTTAGAAGTGTGTGAATCCGTTCTGCCACACCTTCTTCCAGCATTTGAACTTTGCTAACAACTAGAAAATGGAAAAATAAAGACAGTGCTGTGAAGCTCAATAACCACACAAGCATCTGAAAATTTAGATACAATATAACTGTTCTGAATTTTAGGCTGCATTATGCTCTTACCAAAAAGTCCAGCTTGTTAGAGTGCTCAGAAACGAGGTCAGGACTACCCAATTGTTCAGGTTTCTCTTGAACTAAAAGCTTCTTAGGAATTGCTGTTATAATATTTTGGTTAGTTTTGATCTGAGCCCTGCCTGGAGTGAAGTGCATAAATAGGATAAACACAGCATTGTTGTTTCTCTTTCTAGTTGTACTAGACAATCCATTCATTTGATCACTCTCACGAGCAAGCCTTTCCTATGCTTGCTCATCTCAACTGGGTGGCAGAAGTGATTTACATAGCCATATTTATTGAAAATTAATTTTCTTTTATTATTTGAGCTCCCTGATCCACTGTTGTTCATGCCTTTTGTTTCTGTGCTTTCTCTTCCTTAATTCTTGTGTTTGTTTCTGTGCTTTCTTCTCCTAATTCTTGTGTCTTTGCTCCAGTTATTGCAGTAATCCCTGGTAATAATTAGAAGCTTGTCTGGAAAGAGTCCTAATACTGCTTAACTGTGTTACCAAAAGCTGTTTCCTTCAGAGCAATTCTTTTACCATCTTCACCATGCCTTTTTTGGGGGGGGTGAGGGGGGAAGAGAGCACACATGACACACAGTGAATTTAGGGAGACAGCTGTTCTATCCCTTCCTCATCTTATTGGACAAATTGAGAAGCTGACACTGTTAAGTAACTGTCCTTAATGTCCATGTTTTTCGGTGGCACATTCACTACAGCATAATTACTTTTTTCCAATTTTTTTTTTATAATCTCCTTGGTCTCAAAGATCATTACTTGAATTGAAGACTTTCCCTGTTTTCATTTGCAAGTGTTGATCCATATTCATTTTTGGTTTATGATTTCTTTGGATTTGCTCTCAGTCTTTTTGTTGGCTGGTGGGGTTTTGTTGTTGTTGTAGGCTTTGTTTTGGGGTTGGTTTTGTTTGTTTGTTTTGCCTCCATGAAGCAGACTATATTATTGGAAGTGGTAAGAGTTTGTGTATTTCTGGAAGTGATTTATTATTGTGAGGGAAAGTTATGGCATATAAAGAACATTGAGATGTACTGGTACTATGTATAGTACCAGTACCTGCTGGCAGTGACATAGGGAATGAAGTTGTAGATTGCAACCATGATTTCTGGAGATTTAGATCCTGTAATCTTTGCAAGATCAGTTGTGTTTGTTGCGTTGCTAAGGAACTCCCAAGGATTGCCTGGGCTTGGCATTACAAAAAATGGACCTTGGTATTTGTTGAGGAACATGTTCTGAGTTAGAACATAATTATCTGCTGCTTGTCAAGGGAAACTACATCAACACTGCTATCTTTCAAATGAGATTAATTGGGATCTTTGCTGCTTGTAATCCTTAATTCCTATTGTACATATTGCAGGAGTGAAGTCAATGGGGACTAAGCATGGGACACCCCTACGGTTATGGAAAAAGTCCACCATTTTATTCTAATAATGATAGTTACATTTTGCCTACTAAATCACTCTCCTAATTTCAGCTGGATGGCTCTCCGTGATTTTTTGTGGTTCTGTGATTATCTTCTAATAGCTCTGTGTTAGGTTGTAACTGATGTGAGGTAGCTGGCATGCATCCTCAAAGTGCTGCATACTCTATTAGCACCAAAAAGCAATTTGTCTGCTGATGTGAGTGGTGGTGGAACATCTCTTCAGAGAAATAAAGTACACATAAAAGCAGTGAGGGGCTTATGGTGTGAAATATGTTTGTTAAAATACTGGATAGACAGATAATGTCTGGTTGTTATGATCCAGAGAGTGTGGTGATATTATAAGCCAAACTAAATAAATTACTTGAGAGCTTGTAAAAAATAAGTTGAAAGAAATAGGTGAGGTTCTGAAGACAGCTGTCTGCAAGAAGGAAGTGTATCAGCTTTAAAAGGAAGTAGGGGAAGCAAAGTAGCAAGTACTTTATTCTGTGGCTCTCACTTGTTCAAAGCAGTGATTATGTCTAAAACTGTCAGACCAAGCATGCTGGCTGGTTTACATAATAAAATTGGCAGACAGATTCAAAATCTGTTATTTTTACAAGATATTATTGATGCCATGCTCTTCTCTGGAGTACTGCATAGCAGTGTAAGGACTGTTGCAGGGTGCTGCTGCACTGTTAAGTCTCTAGGAAAACATTTCTGTCCTGAATTGCAATTTCACATGGAAACAGTAAATTTGAAATAAGAAGCAGCACGATTCCCTGATGTGTGTTAACAAAAGGTCACAAGTGTAGAATCATAGAACTGAGTTGGAAGGGACCTTCAAAGCTCATCTAGTTCAACCCCCTCCCTCCACCCCACCTCAGTGAGTGGGGAGATTAGATCAGGTTACTCAGAGCCCCATCCAACCTGACTTTGGATGTTTCCAGAGGTGGGGCGCCCACCTCCCTGGGCAACTTGTTCCAGTGTTTCACAGCCCCCATTGTAAAAAATGTATTCATTATATCTAAGCTAAATCTAATCTCTTGTAGTTAAAAAACACTGTCCCTTGTCCTATCACAACAGGCCCTACTAAAAAAGTCTGTTCCCATTTTTCTTGTGCTTCCCCTTAAGTTTGTAGTTTTAAAGTGTGTTTGTTACGAAGGCTGAATTCAGAATGAATATTGGCTGTATAGAAGAGAAGCAGATTTATGAAATCGCTGCCAGCTGTGATGCAATAGCTTCACCCCATACTCTTTATTTTAAGCTATAAACTGTGTTCTACAGTTTTGTCTTGAACTGCTCTATGTTGTTAACATGAAACTACTTTAGCAGCCGGCAATGAGATCACTAGTATGTGTAGACCCTCTATGTAGGTAAAAAGTATTGATGAGTTACTGAAATACATATGTCTCTGCAGGGAGAGAAAAAGGTCAGTTGCCCCTCAAAATACAAGGGGCTGAAATTGGTGACTTGGACAGAGCCACACAGATCTCCATTAAATGATCCATCTTTACAAAGAATCACAGTAAATCAGTTTTCTTCAAAGTCTGTACCTGGTATAGCAAGGTTTCGAAGTGCACTGAGTGCAGCATGTTGAACAGAGATGTCCTCACTCTCTACATGTTTCTCCAAAAGATCCAGAAGCTGATGTATGACTCCCAGCTGTACCATTCGTACACAGTTGCCATCTGAAGAAAGGCAAAACCAAGCAGTTGAGAGGTAAAAAACACAATGGTAGACATTAATCATGCAAATTGAGAATTCAGGGAGTCTTTACCTTGAGTGTTTTAATGTCTTGATAAATTTGAGACTATAGCTTTTGCATAGTCTTTTACATCCTTCAACTCTAGAGGTAAGTGGGCATTAGCCACCTGTGAATGATGTTGAGACACCCTTGAGTAAAGGTTAGCTTAGAGAGCTTTCTAGACAGCCACTGTCAAATTAAAACTATATGTCCTTCAATAAGGTTTGTTGCTTTTTTTTTTATTCTCTGACACCACCACCACCCCACCCCCCCAAACTGCTTTATTTTCCACTATATATGTGGTAGAATACTGGTAGCATTTTCAGTTTCTCCATAGGAGAAATTTAATATTTCAGTTTTGCTATTCTGCTGGTTTAAGAGACCGTTGTGAGAGCAGGGATCTTATCCAGCAGTGGTGAGTCTGATTACTAGTTTTGTACTGCTGTTACTCCTTGTATTCAGTCAAATAATTTGTCATTAATCATGGAAAGAATTGGGCCTAGCTTTTATTACCTGTTTTGAGAAACCCACTCTCTGAAATGAGGACTTGCTCTCATATGAAGCTAAGAAAATATGAGCTGACCTAGAGAGTTCTGATGTGGTGAAAGCAGATTTATACATTCTGCAGAACTACCATTTTGCTTGGTATATGCTTTGCAATGTTTTCTGTGAGTATTTATTTGTTATATATGTCTCCCTCTCTCTTTGAGAACTTGCTCTGCAGAGGTGACAGCCCTTTTGTTATCAGCAGCTACTTAGTCCACCTTAATAGGAAGTGAGGTGTTCTCCTAAAGAGCAAAAGGAAACTGCATATTATCATATGCATCCTTCCTGAAGGAAGTATTTTGAAGATGCCTGTTACAAATATTTTTCTGTGTTTTATTCAATACAATTTATTACACCTCAAGAGAACCGTATTCCTGACACCAGTAGAAGTTTCTTTATTGCTGTGCTGTTACCTTGTGAATGCTGTTAAAAAGTGGCAAAACACCATATAGGAATACAGTATTCTACAGGAAGGAAGAAATACAGGGTCTTATAGGAAGACCACATCTTCACCTGCAGTAAACAATTATCCATGGAATTATACGGACTTCATGTAAGTAGAGAATCTAGCCAGAATTAGCTTTAGGTGCCTCTTGTGGTACTAACTGCATGCCTAAAATGTACACTTTCAATTTTTGTGTGTATAGCACTTAAAATTGGCTGTAGCAATTTTAACAGCTTCATTGATTTGAATGTTATTTCCAAGCATATCCCAGTATTTCCATGTAGTAGAAACTCCATGTTGTCTTTTGAACCAATGCCTATTATTCCTTTAATCTCTTAGCATTTCAGTTAGTAGCATATTTTTTTCCCCTGTATTACTACATATGTTAAATAAGAATGTCAACTGCTTATAAAACATAAGTGGATATACTCATGAGAAAACTATCAGTCTGGAAAATAGTTCAGTTTCTACTCATGCAAAAAATCTTTTGGTATCACTTATGTATACATTCTCTAAAGCTGATGTTTTTGCTTATGATTCCTCAAATCTTCCCTTGCTTGGTTCTAATCTTTGGAGATCAGAGTGTATGAGGAAAATTACCTAGTTCTCTTTAAGGACAGGTTCTCTAGAAACAGACCATCTCTTTTGGTCTGACAAAAATCTGAAGTCAAAATATTTCGATCTTCATGTAGACTAACCTTAACTGAACTTCATTTCTCTCCTCCCCCCATCTCTCCTCCCCTCACCTTTCAAACCAAAGAATGGCAGGGCATTATTTTCTCTTGTACTAAAGTGTGAATAGGCAGGACCCATTAGTGTCTGCCTTGCTTTGAATGTCACAGAGCTCCAAATTGGTTCTTTCTTCTGTGGATTTTTGCTTGGATAGCAGCAGAACCTTCAATTTAATGGCTCATAGTTGAAATATGATGGAACAGCCACTTCATAGTTGCAAAAGCTGTCTGTCATCTTTTCACTGCCTTGGAAGTTATTTGATGCTGAGATCAGATTTCCACAGTGGGTTTTTTCTCTTAGATTAAAGGCTGTGCATACATCAGTGGCACATATTGAGGCCTGAGAGGGATTGTTCACTTTTTCCACATGAAACATGTAATGGGGTTGTGCGGGAGATAGATGGAGAAGAATGAGTGATGAAGCAAGCCATTCAGCTGAATAAATTGAAGATAGCTAGTTTAAAGGCACTGAGGGTATTTCTGTGGCCTTTGTAGAACTGTAATGCACAATAGCTGATTCAGAGCAAGGTGTAAGAGAAGTAAGAAAAGGAGGCTAGAAAAGATGGTGGAGGTGGAAATATGTGTGTATGATGGCTTGCTTTAGCTAGACAAACTTTTATTTTTAACATTCAGGCAGATGTGAGGGAATCTTATATGATAAGCACATATTAATGAAAATTGTTGGTTGCTTTGGGATTGGAGGTGGTGGGATGCAGTACAAGTGTCCAGTTCTTGATGTTTTATTCTTTAATCTGTATCGTTCAAAATGCGACATAGCAGGGCCGCTCTAAACTAAGTTGCTGTTAGGTCTTCATCCTTTTAGTATTCCTGAAATCCGCTTACAGACTTAGTGAAAAATCTAGGTCAGCAGTGTAGTAGTCTGTTCCTAATAGATGCAGAATTTATGTTACAAGAAAGTTCTTTCATTTGTTATTCCAAATGTTTGAAGTATGTACTCAGAATAGTACCTCGGGAAACATGAGTAGTTCAATATCACATGAACTTAATTTGATGATTAGGTTTAGATTTAAAACTGGCTCTTGGGGCAGCTGTGAAAGTAAGTTTATAAAAGCAGGGTGTGAACTGACAGCCACAGGTAACAGCTACAATGGTCTGAAGTTCTTGTGCTTTCGTGTTCTGCACGGGAGCAGCCACTATGGTATTGGATGACTTCAGGCAACATACGTATATGCTTGAAGGGAGGCATGGCAATGGGAGTGCTAGGCGCCTATAATAATAATGTAGTGCCTGAGAAGAATTCTCCTAAGAATTATGAAACAGGTTGCAGATGTGCCTGTTAACTGTGAAAGCAGCAGAGAAGATGGCAAATCCAGGGGAACTTTTTTCCTTTCTTTTTTTTTTTTTTTGTACCTGGAATGTTAGTATACCTTCTGGTTTTTTTTTTTACCTCCAAGAAGCAGAGAGACAATGAGATCTGATGCAGCCTTCACAATACATGTATTTTCAGCTTGTGAACTACCCTGGAGCCTCATCAGGATCTCGGACAGCACCTCTTGCACACCTGCCTCCACCAACTGCACTTTTAGAGCATCTGTAGAGATAACAATAAAAGCACGTTGTTTTGGTTAAACCCAGCAGGCAACCAAGTACCAGGCAGCTGCTCACTCACTTCCCTCCTGCCCTCTCCCCAGGTGGGATGGGAAGGAGAATCAGAAAAATGTGAAACCCAGGGGTTGAGATAAGAACAGCTTAACAAATGCAATTAAATAAAATATAATGATAATAGAAATAATAGAAATAATGCCAACATTAACAATACTGATAATAGGGAACAGCAGTGAAAATGAGACACATGAGACAAATGTGCAACACAAGTGATGCACAATAAAATTGCTCACCACCAGCTGACCAATAGCCAGGCCAACCCAAGCAGTGATCAGTCCCTTCTGGCTAGCCCAGTTTATATACTGGGCATGACATACTGTGGTCTGGAATACCAATTCGGCTAGTTTGGGTCAGATGTCCTGTCTCTGCTTCCACCCAGCTTCTTGTGCCCCTCCTCGCTGGCAAAGCATGAGGGACTGAAAGTCCTATATCAGGATAAGCATTACTTAGCAACAACTGAAACATTGGTGTGTTATCAGCATTGTTCCTGGACTAAAGCTGAAATACAGCACTGCACCTGCTACTAGGAAGAAAATTAACACTGTCCCAGCTGAAACCAGGGCACACACTAAAAGCTTCTTAAGGCTTTATTGAAGTGTTTTGATCTAAGAAGCTAAATCCTTGAACTTTAGCCAGACTCTTTAGGTGTGGTCTCTGTTTTGGTTTTGCATGTAACAGACATTCTGATGCTAGGATGACACCAAGGCAGAATGAGCAATGCTTCTGCACTGATCTTTAACATTTCTTGTCTTGCCAGCCATGAGTTTTCATTTCTTTAAAATATGTATCAGGTGTCTAGATATTTTTAATGGGTTCTTGTTGGTGCTTATTACACCACTGCTTAGAGTAGGCATCGTCTATGCTATTTGGTTGTCATTTTTTAAAAGAAAACAATGTCAAGTCTGCTTTCCTGTTACACACCATGGAGTATATGAGTTGGCATCTGCTATCCTGTAGATCCACCAAAGTAGAGTGAAATGCTACTCCAATCCTTTGTTGCCTCACCTATTAAGCTTCAAATTCTTGCTCAGGCCATGATTTCTTATATTCTTGTGGCTTTTTTCCACTGAAGAAATTGCTGGTTCCATTAGTAGGATCTCATGGCAAACTGAGAACCCAGAGTTTAAGTTAAGTACTAGTATCCTTCTCTCCTCATTCTCCTAAGATGAAAAGAGACTTACCATTTTCTGCAAGTGCTTGCAGGACCTCAAAGATAATTTCTAACCTCTCATGGTTCTCTGCTCTTCTCAGTTGTTTTACCAGCTGTTCAGCAACCTTTGTCTTGCTTAGAGCTTCCTTGGCTGTATCTGTGTATATGATAAAGTCAGGACTTTGAATGCTTCTTTATCTGATTAAATGTTAAGAGTATATCTCCCTATAATCTGTCAATTTGCCACATGAAATTATGCCCTCTGTACTTATTTGTGGGTCAAAAGCTGCCCATTAGTTCTGAATTGTTTTTAATGTATATCAGCAATTGCTAGTTCTCCAGGAAAGAGTAGTTAATTCTCCAATACAGGTAACTGTGGCCAGTCCCTGATTAGGTATCAGTAGTATTTAAAAACCAAAACCCCGAACAAAAACCACAAACCACCACTCCCATCCCAAATACCCCCAAAAACCAAAACCAAACCAAATAAAAATACCCCACAAAATCCCCCAAAACAGCTCCCAAACCTGTGGGCATTCTGCATTTACAAGGAAAGGCAGTGACAGTATGAAGATTATATTTTGCTCCAAGATAGAAAAAAAACTTTACTTACCAAGGTCTGCAAGATTGCATAAGGCCAGTAGATCAACATGGACAAGTGGTTCACTCTCTGCATAATCGGTTAATACTCGGACTAGTGGTGTGATTACTCCAGCCTTCACCAGCTCTTCCTGAAGTTCCCCTGGTAATAAGAATAGAAGTTACAGGTGATTAAATAGGGACCAATTAAATTGGTAAAAAGGGACCAACTGAGATGCTTTGCAGCAGGATATTCTGGTACATTCTCACACTGCCAGAATTTGTGCAGCTTTTGTGCTGGGTGTTCATGCTAATGCATGTGTATGAGAAATGAAGGTTCAGGACAGAGTGTTGCTAGACCTCCTGGTTCTACTTTGACTAGAGGAATTAAGCCACTGTAAAAGGTATATAAAGACAATTACATGAGCATCTCTACTACTAGTGCAGCTTCTAAAGCGAGTTTTGATGGACTATATCTCTTGGTGTGTGTCTGAAAATTAAGTGAGGCACAGTTGGCTTATTTCTCCCAGGGAATGGGAATCTCAGCATTATTATTTTATAGCTTCTTTTGTTCTAAAGGTCAGGGAGAAAGAAAGGACTGGAAACCCAAGATAAAGCATAGCCTGCTGACAACTCTTTTCAGGAATCAACAGTGTTCTGACTCCTATAGCAAATGTCTATATTTTTATGTTAGAATAATGGGTTTTGTTTATTTTTCTTTAAAAAATGTTTTTATAAAACAGGACACTTTACCAATATTTGAGCTATTATACTACTGAAAGGCAGACTACTTTAATCTTAGGGAATCATCCTCTTCTAGTGATTTAAATGCTGGTTTCCCAGCATGCAAGGAATCTTGGGAGTGCTTGAGTTCAAATTCTCTTTGGATTTTTTGTAGGCTGAGTAAGTTTCTAAGCAGGTGTTAATTTGTGTTGCTGAGGAAAACACTGATAACTGTTTTCTTTCTTTTTGTAGTCATCTTGTCAAATCTGCTGGGCCTGTGTTCTGACAGAAGTGAAGTATGTTAATCGTATGGCCATATGCTGTAGTAATGCTGGTGTATACTAGTTGCAAGAGCCTTACATGTAATCATATGGGGAGGTTTTTTTACTGTCATTCCTTGGCAAATACATGTTAATTTGCAGAGGGTTAGTAGAATCTATGCCAGATACCTATCATGCTTGGATTTCATAGAAACAGACCAGGAAAACAAACCTATAGCTTTCTAGATAAAACTATGCAGGTCCACACTAGAAAGATAAGAGAAGGTATGTTAAAGGCAGAGGGAAATGGATAGAAGGTACTGGGGGTGAAAATTTCCATATTACCTCCAGTATACAGTAAATACTTTTGGTCATTCTGGGAATTAAAGGTAGAAGAAAAACTCTTAAAACTGTTTGGGCTAGTAGGTGAAAACGGTTTAATTCATGAGACGAGCACACTAGTGTACTGGCTTCATGGAAAATCTGGAGCACAAAGATCTTGGAGAATACCATCAATAAATATCTGTATTTAGAGTATGTTTTTTCTGACACATTTTTTAAACAAGTGCTTTGCTTTATAGCTGTTGTTACTACTTTGGAAGAAGGCAAAGCCATTCAGGATCTGGGCCCAAAGCCGTTCTGCAAAATTAAGATATATATGAATCTCTGCTACTTTTGTTGTTGCAGAGGAGTTCTGACAAAGAATATGTCACCTTGAAGTCAAAAGTATAGGGGAAACCCAGAGTTTTGGAGGTGTTTGAGATGTATTCAGACTGGTGTCTGTAAGCTGTGTGAATTGTATATCTAACTGGAGGCTGAAGTACATTCTGTGCTCAGGTCTCCAAATTATTATGAACTGCAGGTTACAGTACCTTATAAATTAATGCCTTACAGCTAGGGAAAATGGGATTCTCTCAAGTCAGTACTTACGATTATCATAACAGATGCGGCCAATAGCCCTCCCAGCATGAAGCAACATTTCTTGGTCTGTACTTTCCAGCAAAGGTATCAAAGTTGGAACCAAATCTGCTTCAATACATGGTTTCTTCATTTCCTCTGTATAGGTAAGGGAGAGGGACTTGTGGTTTTTTGCCATGTTGAAATAAAAATAGTTGCAATTGCAAGACCAATAGCTATGTAACAAAACTCAAGAGTGGAAATGTACAGCTAATGTGCTGTAATACACCTTGTAGTAAGGCTTTACTACAACATACCATTCTTGGCTATCTCTGAAAGCACCTGGGCTGCTTTCACTGCGCATCGTGGATTGCCCTTCAGGATTTTTGCCAAAGTTAAAAAGATCCCACTCTCTCCGAGTAGGCTGAAGGATCTTTGCTCTGTAATGATAAGAGTGTTAATACCTGCAGCAGGTTTGTAACTAGTTTATTTGCATGTTCGCTTCCTATACCTTCATAGACTGTATCTGTGGGATCCAGGGTTCTGATTTAGCAAGGTACTTAAAGGCTGTTTCAGTCTAAATGTATGAGATCAGTCATGTGCTTGAATTGCAGCAAGTGTAGTTCCAGCTGATGATTCTGCTTCACGCAGAATTGCAGCACAGGTGGCAAAGCAAAGAGGAAAGCAGTTTCATCATCTTTGACTATAAAAGGATGCTTGCATAATGCATGGGAAGTCGGGGATTAAGATTCTATTCCTGAGGTATAGCTTAGAAATAAATTTTGTAGGTAAGCACAACATCTTTAATTAGACTAGTAATTAGAACAGTCAATTCATTTAGTTTTTTTTCATCAAAGGTATGGCTTATTGTTCTTAGGGTAGTAAATCACCGTCTGCCAGGAGTTTCAGGTAATTGCAGGCCTGTGTTATTTCAGGAGAATGGGCAGAGACCTTAAGGACTTCTGTATAAGGAGTCTGGGAGCTACTTTTGAAATTCCTGATTTGATAGGGTCACCCCAGTTTAATTCTAGGAGTTCGTAGTAAATAGAATATATTAAATTTAGAATTTGTCTGCAGCTTCAGGTGTTTTAGTGGCCAGTAGCTTTTTTGTGGTCACAGGTAGATTTGCAAGTATACAAAGAGAAAGGAAAACAACAAAATAGGCTCAGGACAGCTGTAATTGTAGCAGCAATCACTTCTTGCAATATAGATTATCACAACAGACAAAAACATTCAGTGAATGCTTTTGAATTGTACAGATGGTTAAATAGCAGTGTGGAGTGATACTTAGCTATCTTCAGTAAGAGCCAGGAGAATCCCATTCAGACTTTCAAGGATCTGATCTTCAGCTTCTGTGTCATCTCCACAGAGCTCAAGGTACTCCAGGTGTTGACTCAGGGTTTCTAAACAGAATGGGATAGAAAACTGTGGTGAGCTATTATGGAAAATATTTTGAGCTCTTTATGGTGTTTCTTTTTAGTGACAGTGGCTGCCCATAAGATCATCTCCTGAAGCGTCCAGATCTAAATATGCTCATTAAATAACTAATCCAAGCGCATGGGGTCAAAAGCTTGGTCCACTTCTCAAACAGCACATAGCTCTTGTGCAGGCATAAACTTGCAGAGATAAATTCTATCTGGAAAAAGAAATTAGCATATGGTAACTGGCTGTTTGAGGTGACAAGGAAAGAGGAATAATTGGAAAACCCAAATTAAGCCTGCCATTTCTAAATACTTCTTTATTATAAAGATGGTATTTGCAGTTCAACTATCTATATATCTATTCTGGTAGTGACCAGCAGCAGGCACTGAAAGAATGCAAGAGTGAAGGAGATACATTAACATACTTAGAAACATATCTAGTATTTTTATCTGTGTATTTAATACATTTAGATGGACTTTTATTCCATAAATATAATTACTTATTTAAGTTAATTCATACTTTATCTCCACAGCACACTGTGCCATCAAGCTCCACAGTTTCACTGTTGTAAGAGTAAGATTTTAAAGCTAAGTAAAATACTTAGCTTTAAAATAGCTACCAAAAAGCTCAAAACTAATTGCCTTTGAGGTTCTGTAGCAAGAGAAAGGACAAATAGTATAGAATCATTCCTTCCCATGCTTGTCGTGATTAGATGGATTTTTAGCATATCTCTCCCTTATAATTCTTCTGCTAATTCATCTAATATTTTCTCTACAGAAGCTTTCATAACTTGCTTCCATCTTTTTGCAGGTAAGGAGCTAAAATTTGAAAGTCTCTTCAAGGTACAGGTGGACTGGTTTTAAGACAGAGATTGGAACGCTTTGTTTTCTACTCTTTTAATCCTTTGTGTATTTAAGAATGTGTTTTGTGCAGCTATTCAAAATTACTCAGTCTTTTCTGGGCAGATGAAGCTCATTTAGACCCCACCATTATTCATACATAGGCCATCATCTCCCCATATGTGTTCTGCGTTTACAGACACTGAATGTGATGTGTCTCTATCCCAAGTTGTGCAGGCTGATAAGATTTTTCTGCCACTCTCTTCAGACAGTTTTAAATTTGAGTACTCCAAATAATCAAAAATCTCTTTACCATTCTTCTATGTCTAGATAACTTATATTAAATGTGTAGGTTCTGGCAAAAGTAACCTCTAATGATTATGCCTCTCTGTTGTGAAAGCAGTCTTTATTCTGCCCTTCAGTCTTTATCAGATAACCTTCTCTAGTATCACAAGATAGCTTAGGTGGCAAACCTTATTGAATGGTTTGTAGAAATCAAAATGCATTGTTAACAATATCTCCTTTATTCACCTTCATGCCAGCTCCTTAAAAATATGGTTAAAGAGAGGGGTTGAGCATTACTTGGCTCCACAGAAGTCATATAGACTCTCTCCATTTTTATTGCTTCTGTGCTTTATTCCAATCTTACAATTTGCCTATGCAGATATCAGATTTCCATATGTCAGTTTCCTGCATTCTTTGTAACTGTTTTTGTAAAGTCATGCCACTCTTACTGCTTTCCACCCTATTAATCCTTCCTTTGGTTCAAATGGCATTCTGTGTGTCACAATTAGTGTGATTTGATGATTCATATTTTTAATTCCTTATAAACTCTGGGGATTAACATCCAGTGCTGACAATTGGCTGCCATTTATTTTATTGATTTGTTCTAAATCTGTTGGCCTTTCAATCTGAAAGTTCCTCCATCTGTTTCCTGAAAACAAAAAAAAGCTGCAGTGATTGAAATGAATATGGGAAATAATGATGGAAAACTGATGGCTGAAGTAGTTAAGTTATAGTAGAATATAATGTAAGGTGTTACCAAAACTGTAGTAAAATAGCACTTCTGTTTCACAACCTATTTCATTGAAAAAGACGTGTTACAAGTCTTGGCTTAGAAATTCTTCAGCAACGGACTAGTAAATAATTTTTGTTGTTTGAGGGATTCACCATTTTCTCTTTCTTTAATGTGTCCATTAGTTAATGTTTCATTCAGTGGGGGTTTTATTTATTTTTTTAAATTAGAATCCATGAGTTTGTGCTTACAGGAATTTACTTCAGAGGAGCCCAAAGTGTCTTGAGCTCTTTTGAAGAGATGATGATTTAAACATTGGGGAAGTAGGACAGAAACAACTTTTACTTATATAAAGATAATTCTTTGACTTAAAAAATTAAAAGCAGTTAAGAGCAATGACAATACTGGTTTTAAAAGAAATGCTATCTGAAGAAAAACGGCTTGATTCATCAGGTTAAAAATCTATATGGAGAAACTTCAATACTTTTTATTCTGAGTAAGAAACCCAGGCTTGCATGTATTGATGCCTCTTGGAAATGTTTTGCAGTTGAAAGTAGCTATGTGCTTGTCTTTTTGTGGCCTTCTGAAAATCATGTGCTAAAGGCAACACAGGCATAAAATTCATAGGAGATCAGCATTTGGTTGTTTTTCTTTCTTTAATAGATTACTTTGGATTTGTTGCTTTTTTTTTTTATTAAACAGGGATAGATGTACAGCAAGGATGATTTTATTTGACCCAATTACAAAAATTAACATTAATCACTGGTTTCCATTTCTGTGTATTTTTCCTGTCACAGTTTGGTGTATGAATGCTTTCATATGAATGAAGTATATGCAGAATACAGTTCTCTTACCAATAGAAATAAAAAATTCACCTGAGCAACCTGACAGTTGAATCAGCTTTAATCTTAAGTTGGATCTGGAGGGAGTGGGCAGAAGGCTACAACTGCTAATAGAGCAAGAGAAGTCTGTGAGAATGAATTAGCTACTGAGCTCTGACTTCATCCTTATCAAGACCCCAAATGTGTTGGCATGAAGTGATGCATTTAACTGCTTTTACTCTATATCCTCTGATTAGAGCAATAGCAGTATTTGCATATACATTTCTGATAGAGTTAGGATACATACAAAGGTGAAAAGGTGACCAGATCTCTGAAGCTGTTTTACAAATAGCAGGGAACTGTCTATATTACTGGTCACTCATTAGGTGGGTATAGTGGTAATTAGAAATTCAGATGTTTTATTGTTTCTCCAAGGAACAGATCAGTAGAATAACACCATGTGCGCGATGACAAAGTCCTTGTAAAATACGCTCTGGTTACAGTCTGTAATGTTGTGAAATTAGTACTATAAGCAGCAGAATTGACCGAGTATTTGGCTGAAGAGCTATTTTTATAAGCCTTGCAGAAGAGGTGGTATTTAACAGTCTTAAAATATTGAATCTTTTTACTCAGAATTTTATCATGTTATATGTGATTTATAAAAACCTGATTAATTTAACCAACATGGGGCTGATTCCTCAATACTCTAATTGTCTCTAAGTCCATGCTTCTGAAGTGGAATTGAAGCAGACACTGTATAACAGTTGTTTTTCTTGGAGAGGCAATAATGCATATAAAGATTGAGAGGCATACGTAGTTCCAAAAGTTTGGAAATAAAATAGGCCAGAAAAGGATATTTCTGTTTTGTGGAAAATTCTAGGTGGTTGACATTTTGTTTCCTCCCATGCTCGAACAGAATGTTGACATGGTGGAACTTCAGGCAAAACAGAACAATTTGTTTCACTTCTTTTGCAAATGTGGTTCTTTTCCCCCTGGGGTCCTGCCTGGCCTGCTGCCTGGCTGGCCAGTAGGTGAGCTGGAAAGGGGCCAGCTAGGCTAGCCAGCTGGTCAGGCAGTGGGAAGTGCCTGCCCACCTGGTGTCTGATGGACAGTTTTAGCTGGATAAACATGTTTTTGAGGAACACTTTTTTGTTCTCTTGAATCAGCATTTTCATCAGAATATTGTTGAACAGTATGTTGAGCTTTAGTAATTCACGGTAGAAGCAGGGAAAATGTACTCAGGCTCTGGTCTGGAAAGCTTTAATTTTACTTTCTCACTGATTACCTGAAGGCTCTGAATTTAGAAATCTCTGGAGACTGAAGTACAAAAAGCTTCTTCCTGAGCTGAAGGGCTAGGTTATT